CCAGAAGGTGGTGCTGGGGGACTATAGCTCTGCGCCATGGCAGTTATGCCATGGAGTTCCGCAGGGGTCCATTTTGTCCCCTTTGCTATTTAACATCTACATGAAACCGCTGGGAGAGGTCATTAGGAGGTGTGGGTTGCAGAATCATCAGTACACTGATGATACCCAGCTCTACCTCTCATTTTCAACCAATCCAGGTGAGGCAGTGGCTGTATTGAACCGGTGCCTGGCCGAGGTAATGGGCTGGATGAGGGCCAATAAACTGAGACTTAATCCAGACAAGATGGAGGTCCTGTTGGTAGGCTGTTCGGACTTCGGGGTGGGGGACCTTGACCTTGTCCTGAATGGGGTAGCACTCCCTCTTAAGGACAGGGTCCGCAGCTTGGGAGTGCTCCTCGACCCAGAGCTTTCACTGGAAGCTCAAGTAACAGCGGTGGCGAGGAGAGCTTTCTTCTAGCTTTGGCTTATCCATCAGCTGCGTCCCTACCTGGAGAACAATTGCCTGGCAACAGTGACACATGCATCGGTTACCTCCCAATTAGACTTCTGTAATGCGCTCTACGTGGGGCTGCCCTTAAAGACAGTCCGGATACTTCAGATGGTGCAAAATGGAGCTGTCAGGTTGCTGACGGGGACTGGGCGTTGTGCTCACATGACTCCAGTCCTCTGTCAGCTTCACTGGCTTCCCATCGAAGTCTGGGCCCAATTCAAGGTGCTGGTTATCACCTACAAAGCCCTTAATGGCTTGGGACCTGGTTACCTAAAGGAGTCTCTGCGTCCATATGTGCCCTCCCGCCCCTTGAGATCGGCGGCAGAGGACCTTCTCCGGGAGCCCTGCGTGAGAGATATTAGGAGGGTGAGTACTCAGAGGAGGGCTTTCTCTGCAGTGGTGCCCAACTTATGGAACTTGCTCCCCAGAGAGATCTGCCTGGCACCGTGGTTATTTGTTTTTTGGCGCCAGGCCAAGACCTTTTTATTTAAAAGTTATTTTAACTGTTGATTTTATTTATTCATTTTAAATCTGCTACCAGGATGTCTCCAGTATTTTATGTATTTTGTTTAGAAATATATTTATTTATGTATTGGAAGGCTTATGCGAATGCCCCGAGGCTTATGCGAATGGGGCGGTATACAAGTTGTCCAAATAAATAAATAAATAAATATTCTCTGACCATTCCTGAAGGACCCAATTTCATTCCACCCCTCCTCCCCTTCCAAAGAAACTCACATGGAGGCCACAAAGTTACAGACAAAGGATGCTCGAGGGATGAACAAACTGATGAGGGAAGTAAGGCTGAAGACCTGTGTGATGAGAAGAGATGGGTTAGGATACGAAAGATCTGAAACTGGTTTAAATTGTGACTTGCCCTTAAGACAAGTTTGGGATCTTTTTTCTGCATTATTATTCTGCATATGGCAGATTCCAGTCCCCCTTACCAGACGAAGCCAGAAAAGGGATTAATGTATGGAAACAGGTTGCCTGGTTTTATTGAAATAATAAGAAGTAAGCCAGTGGTGGCCTAGTGGCTTGGAGTGTCAAATGAAGGCTTTGAAAATCTCCAAATTCACCAGGACAATTTGGGCCACCCACCGATTCTCAAATTAATCTGCTTCACAGACTTGTTGTGAGGATTAACTATTGTTGTGATTAATTTGTAAGGGTTAAATTGAGAGGAGGATTGTGTATGGCTACCTTTGCCTAGCAGGAAGAAAAATGGGACAGAAATGTAACAAACAACTAAGTGAAATAATACTAATTGTTCCAGATGAGGAGTGATTTCGCATGTGGATGGCTCAGATTGAGCCCTACCATGAGGTCCAACAGCTGCCTCTGGAGGCAGATTTGGTGTGACACTAACACATAATTTTTAAGGTTTATTTTTTACAACTCAGTTTTAAAAATAATCTTTGTATTACATTTATTTATTTATTTATCTATCATGTGCCACACACTTGGCACATTCATGACTGTAGGTAAGAAAACTACATCTTTAAAAATGTGTCAGAGTAGATGAAGAATGAATATTTTGGAAAATTTTGGACAGTTGAAATAACAAAATGAATTTTGTGGTTCCTTAATGACAGAAGTGTCTATGAAATACATTCTACTGCATCTATGGCAGGAAGTATTATCCTAAGGGTATGATCTTATGCACATTTAACCAGAAAAGGGCCTACAACTCCTGGTGTGATTCAGCCAGCCACGCACAGGATTGCATTTGAAGTATACGCACGCGCACACACACACACAGGCAAACATTGGTAAAATTTGTAAAAGTGGGATTGTATGGTAATGAAATCTGAGAATCAGCATTTGTGTCCATTCAGTACAGCCACACGTATGTAAAATCAGCAGACAGGTGAGAGGCAACAATGGGGCTGATTGTTGGCATTGTTTTGCATACATTTAAACTGGACATAAATTAAAAGAGATTATATTTCAGGTATTTCCTTTCCAACTAACCCCATTTTTACCCTCCTACAAACCCTCTGCAGTGTGCCAATTTAGGATGCCACATGCATGAATTCCGATGAAGGGGATGTTGGTCCATGAAAGCATAAAAGAAGAATATTTAAGACTTTAAGGTATCCTGAGATGCTTTGTTAGTTTTCCTGTAGATTTAGCATGACTCCACTAAGGGAACAGCTTTCATATCATATTTCAGGTGCTCCTGTCACTAACTGTTAATTGTACAGCTATTCTGCTTTTTCTTTCCTGAATAGATTTTTTTCAGGTAAAAAAAAGAGAGACGAAACAGTGGAAAAACAGAGGAGGACTATGAACTGGAGATAACGTGCTTTGGGTTCCCCCCTCTGTTAAATTCCATGAATGAGGCATTATCATTGTGCAATAAAAGACTTGCCTAGAAGCACCCTAACTCACAGGAAGAGCAGCAGAAATGTGTGTGACTCAGGAGCCTGGGTGTAGATCTGCAGGAAGATGGTATCATTTGGATTTTCAGCTTTGGGCACCAACTGGCCCTGGCTATATAGCCCAGGCCTAAGCAGGTTCTACCCAGGCACCCAGTAGGCTCAGGTTCTCAGAACATTTTACTTAGGATTTTTGCAGCTGCAGAGGTGGAGGTAGGGGCTGTGATGCATGACTTTGCTCTGTTCTTACCGGATAAACCCCTAGGATCCAGAGCAAGAGGTTGGTGCAGTGGGAGCCGGTGCCATGACGCAGGAAGAAACCTATCTGTTCCAAGAAGAGGCCGACCTGCACAAGGCCCAGGAACACCGGGACCAAGAAAATCCAGAGCTGGCCCTTGATGACTGTGGGAGAGGAACAGCTGTGGGTCAGAAGAGATGGGAGGCATCCTCCCTCACTCATGTTTCTCACTCTTACTGCATGTCACATACTGACGGCATAAGATCTCCTAATCTTAGCTATTTGATGCCAGGTAGGAAAGCATGAGGAAAAGGCACTTGGTGCATGCTCAAAGGCTCTTGTTCTTTTGTTCTCAGACTGATATTGAAACAAGGCAATGGTGAGGTGACCCTCTGGGCAGCTCTGGCTGAAACAGGCTGCATTCTTGGTTTGAATTGAACTTCTGCCTAACCACCGCCATTTTCTTACTACAACTATAACCCACCCTGGTTATTGTACTGCATTCTTCCATGGACTCCCCATCCTCACCTTGAAATATCTCTGATGACAGAGGGAACTGATGATCGGAGACGGAGCAGTTTGGGGCACGCACCATTTTCTCCTTAACAGGTGTCTCCAGGTGTCCCCCCACCCCACCCCATCAATAACTTCCTCCTTTTCCATCGTTAGTCACTGAATTAATCATTGACCCAGGCAAGGAATGGGTGTCTTGGCAACAGGGCCAAGTCCAGTTCTCACCTGCCAGGGATTCCTGAACAGGCAAACTGCATCTGTGCAGGTGAAGGGGAATGGCCTGGGTCCTAACAGTAATGTGGTTCTCTACTGTAGGTGCGTGTGTCATCCTTGCCCTTCCTGGTTTATAAGTAGCCTGAGGGAACTGACCAAGTGGATAAGGGAAGCAGTGAATGCTTCTTTACAAGAGAGAAGGTGGTAAAACGTCTAAGTCACACCCTATTAGATCATTTCTCATTGGGCAAGGTGTTGCAGTTTGTGGTGGTTTCTCAGTTATAGAGGTTGCTGGATGAGGCTTCAGCGGGTTTTCTGGATCTCTTTCAATTTGGCTTCAGGCCTGTCATGTGGCTAAGGCACTCCTTCCCAACGAAGCCAACAAATCAAATGATTGAAGCTAAAATCCTTTATTCTGCGAAATGCTGCAGATACATTGACAAGAAACGATGGAGATGATTTCAATGATGATGATAATGGCGAAGTTGTCCTCTCTTTCTGAAAGGGCTCAGATTACAAAATGCTTTTAACTCGGCTGGGCTGTCCCTCCTTGGGCGGATCTGACAAACTTCTCTCCCTCCTCCTTTCTAATTCCCTCGACTCCAATTGCCCTAGCCTGCGTGTGCGTCTGTGAGAGCGAGCATCTTCAAACTCCCTCTGTTCTGGGACAACGCCAATCGAAATGTTCCCATGGTCGCTATCTGCAAGCAGCCCAACCGTTTCCCTGGCAACCGCCTGACTGTCCTCCGACCATGTTTCGCTATCAGCTTCTGCTTGAATCCTTCTCTCCCCTGCATCCTCTTCTCTTTGAAACATTTAGTCAGGGAGTTGGGGGGGGGGGCGTTTGTACAATTGGCACAAGGTACACATCTTCCTGCATGGGAAGCCTCCTTCTCCCCTATGTGCGCCAGAGACTCCTTTGAGTTGGTGCCTACGACAAGGCCTGGTAATAGGACAGAAGTTATGCTGGTCACCATGACAGTTGTGCTATCCTGGGAAACAGGCAGAAGAAGTGTGACCCTGTAGTTTTTGCTGGTCTTCTTGGGACTTTCACAGCCTCCTTCTGAAGTGCCTCAGTCTGGAATGGGACTCAGAGGCACTGGCTTTTTGCTTTTAAATGCAAATATCAGAAATCAGGAGTACAATCAAACCAGAGTAATATTGGTGCATTTTCCACTAATGTTTATTGTACAGGTAACAAATCAAATGCAAATAAAAAACATCAAACCATAACTCCTTTGTTCTATACTACTTACAGTACATTTCATTCCCTGCTTCCTCAATGGAACAAGAGGCAGAAAAGAGGTGCTGGGGTTTGTTGGCACATATTGGCCCATGGGGAGGTAGGGAATTATGTTCCATCTCTTCCCACCCCTCAGTTGTGACCGGAGATTGGTAGGTAAGGATGACCAAGTGCAACAGGGCCGGATTCATTTGCCTTTAACTAGCTGTGCAGGAGAGAGAACCAGGTGGTACCACTGTTCAGTCTCAAACCTGACCAGCATCCCCTGCCAACATTTGCTCCCTCTTTGAGAGGCCTTTAACCATTGGTCATCCTAGCAGTAGACTGAACGCCAGTGCTTTCAGTTCTGCTCTTTCCCCCCACTAGTTCTACATCCAATAAGGTAATAGACTGAGGTGGCAAAATCTAGACTGTAGCTTTTGAGGGTGGTGTTTGTGTGTGTCAGATTTTTAAAAAAGATTCTCCCCCACCTAATGAAATACCTCCGGGCAAGCAGTAAAGCAGCACATCAGGAAGAGGAAGGTTTTTATTCTCTCTGTGACATGCTTGCTTTCCACAGGCAGGGAGTACAGAAATACTGGAAGCTGCCTTTTAATGACTCAGACTGATTAAGCCCATCTAGCACAGTCATCTCTGTAGCCGTGGTTCTACAACCTCTTTCATCCCAAGGGCTGAATTCCACTTTGGCATGGTTCTCAAGGGCCACAGCCCAGTGGTGAGCACACCAAAGGTAACGGGGCAACACAAAATTACCAGGTTATTTTAGCCTAAAGCTGTTGCTGCCAGTAGTCAAGTTTTGTTGCTACCAGTAGTCAAGCTGCACTTCAGACTTTTAGAATGAAAAAAGGGGGAAAAAACCCTCCTGCACAAACGCAGAAAGCACCAAACACTTGGTAGTGGGCGAAGGTAGCGGGGAAGTGTACAGGGTGGGATTTGAGCCCTGGGTCTGAGGTTCTCCACAAGGCCTTTCCTGAATCCAGATTGTGCCCTCTTCCACTGATGCACAACCCAAGTCGCCACTTGGGTTGAATAAGTATAAGAAGTGATACAGTGCAAGATATCTGCCCGCTCCTTCTACCACCTTGCTCTGCTCTCTTTTACAAGCCTGCTCTGCTGATTTCTGTACTTGGAGTCCTGCAGTGACATGGGGTTGGACCCATTGGCTGCCTTGGCCCCTTCCATTATTCTATGATTCAATGAAATGGTGGAAATACTGAGGTGACAGACTGGACTGCACCAGGGCAGAATGTAGGGGTGTGAGTCACGTGAGTCCATGCTCCCCAACTTAAAGGTGCCACTGACACCCTGCCCATTTCATTTCTCTTTGCAAGGAGGTATAAGCAAGCAAACAAAGGAATCATTAAAAATAGGAGCCTGAAATATTAGTTTGTTCTCTCACAGAGCCTCAGGATGGCCTCTCTCCAGCACACCTTGCAGAACGGCTTTAAGGAGGCATCCACACTCTTCCAGGATCAGTCATACTGAATGCTGTAGAATTACTCCAGTGCTAATTCCTGTCCATGCACAAGTCTCCATCTAAATGAATCTTGGTTTAACCTCTGCAATTCCTTTGTGGGAGCAGAGGGTTAAGGTAGAACACTTGCTGCAACAACAGGGTAACCGTACCACTTGAGCAGAGTTGTAGGGGAGACCCTGTGGTAGGATTACTGGAGTGAATGGTGATAAGAGGTGATAATGAAAGATCAAATGGTGTAATTCTTTAAAGCCTTTAAATTCTTTAAAACACAGGATCAAATAGTTAAAATAGTTTTGATAGCACTTTACATATTCAATTGATGCTTTGACATAATTGCAATCAAGAGAGGATGCAGTAAGGAACAGAAGCACAACTTTCCCCACTCTCATAGAGGGGGCTCTACCCCACATTAATAGGCATGGTTCCAGTGAGTGGTCATCAATAATAAATCCTTGACAATAAGTCAGGGCTCAAAGTACTCCGAGCATGTATCCATAATATGGCATGGAATTTAGTATCCCAAGCATCTGGGTTTCCATTTGGAATGAAATGGATCAAGTTTCTAGTCCATACAGTTCCGGAGGAAGAGAACATGGTTAAGCAGCAGTTCTGCAGTGCCCTGCATAGCTGCTGCTCACCCTTCTGTAAGTCACCTGCCTTTGGCCTTCCAAGCCTCCTCTCCCTCTCCATGTATGTCCTCAATATATCCATCATTCTTTCTGCTATGGCTCAATCACAAATCCCCCAAACCTTCAAAAACCGCAATGCTGGAAACAAACTTGAGCTATGTGAAGCCGCTAAATCTGCCTAAATAGCCCAAGCATTGACCTTAAGGAAGAGGGAGATTTTAAACCTATAGAACAGTTTTAAAAAATAGTCATTCAAATTGGCCAGTCATTCAAGTTTACTGAAAAAAAATTGAGTCCATAATCCCAGGAACATGCAGGAATGCCAAGACAGAAGCAGGCACACTTCTCACAATCAGCCACTACGAGAGAGCAGAGGGAGATAGAAGAGCAGGGGTTGCAGGGGGTGGGGCGGGGCAGGGGTTCCAATTAAAATAATTCAAATTAAATCATACAAAAAGGAGGGTGGGGAAATGGTGCAGTTTCAACAAATGGCCACTAGAGGGGACCCAAAGACAGCCAAGGAGATGTCCCTATGCACGAGTGTTGCAATTCCCTGAAAGTGTCACCAGAAGGGGATATCGCTGTCCTTGTGTGATACCTGTGAGTGTCCTGGCTACCTACCCCATGTGGGGCCTAATTTGCTTGCTTGCTTGCTTTTGAGAGCAGTGGGTCAGGACCTGGCGCGAACATGGTCTATGCTGACCAGAGGCCCCTTCCCTTTGTGGGCATCCTGGAGGGAAAAGGGATCAGCCAAGCGTCCACAGCATTCAAGCCCATAAAGGTGTCGGACGGTCTTGAAGGGGATGGCGCCCTCAGCTCCGCCTCTCCAACCAGGTCTGCATGGAGGCTGCCATTCAGCTGATGAGGCGGTAGAAGACCCAGCATCCAAAGGTCACCCAGTGGCTGGCCCAGCTCAGTTCAGACCACGTGTTGATGGTGTAGGTCATGCCATAGCCCTGAACAGAAGGCAGCGCATCAGTGCAAATTGAAACTTGACATGGAGAGGTGTTGATGACAAGGAGAACATCTTCGGGACAGGGAGAAAACTGGCTATTTAGCCACTGTCAAAGGCCTGACACGCTTCCTACAGATGGAGAAGCGGTACAAGTCCTTGTCACAGAGGAGCAACTGAAAGTCAAGAAAGCTGCTTTTTCATGTTTCCCTAATCATGCCATATGCAGGTAACGAAATTGAAACTGAGTACGGAAAATGACATTCTGCAATGATGAGATTCTGTCTGAAAGGCTCATTGGTGAGCAAGCCCCATTACACTTCCAGAGTACATGTGTCTAGACTTGGGCTAGTTTTGTCTTTTTATACTGTTCACAATTTATTTAAAAGCTCAGAGTGGGCCCTACTTCTATCCTCAGCTAAAGGTTAAGAAAACTAAAAGCAAAGAAGCTCGCAGGCAAACAGTGCAAGTTAGAGCGCTTGCACTCTAACTTGATGTGCGGGATAACTAGATAGAAGAATTCTAGTTGTGCATTAAGCTTGAGCAGGGGAGAGAGAATTGTTCTCACTGATGCTTCCTCAGTGATGCTCTTGAAGCCAGGGCCACCACAAATGCAAAGCAAGTCTATAAGTAAGCCTATCCTTCCTCCATTCCTTACCTGCTCTTCCACAGAGTCATCTGCATCCATGTCAAACAATGACCCTAAATAGGCCAAGTGAAAGACTGCAAGAGCCCCAAAGAGCAGGTTGAGAAGGCGAACCCAAAGATTCTGTGGAAGAAGAAGGTGAGAGGCTCAGTCCAGCTGCATCCAAGTAGGAATCTCCCCTCCAAACCAGGTAGGACCTTGCTTTACATGGATGAGCTTTAGGCGCAAGGATATGAACTTCCAGCAGCGCTGCACAACCCAGAGCATGCAGCCTTCCAAGGTCTTAACCAAGCCCCTGCCTGATGCTCTGTCCTCTCAGCTGCCACCAAATTCCCTCTCCCTCTATCCCAACTTCTCACTCCCACAGGATCCACCACTGCTAACAGTGAGGGAAGAGCCCTCCCCATCAGGATCCCCTGTGTATGTGCAGGCCCACGTGTGGGCAGGTGCATGAAAATGTAGTAACCAACCTGAGCTAGTATCACATACAGCCCTTGAGGCCCCAAATCCACATACCCCTCATCTCCAGCAAAAAATGGCTTCAGGAGGCTAGGCTGGGAAGGATCCCTGCCCAACACACATTACTTTAACTGTAGACATGAGAGTCACAAGCAGGGCCCTGCTCTTTATAAAGCACATGAGAATTCAGTGTCTTTCAAGCAATGGCTGTTTTACCTCTAAGAAACCAGGGTAGGGCATCTGTGTTATCATTATATATCCCAATTGTCTTCCTCTTGCAAGGAACCCAACACTGCTTTCCTCCTCTCCATTTTATCATTTTATCCTCACAACCACAGCCTTGTGAGGTAGGTTAGGCTATAAGTCCATGACTGGCCCAAAGGCACCCAATGAGCTCCATGGTTGAGAGGGGACTGGAATCTGGCTCTCCTAAGTCTCGGTCCAACACTCTAACCATTATGCCACACCATTGGCCTGACAGTATAAAAGAGAACTGTAGGTTCTTGGAACATCTGGCACATCTCACCGTGGTGTGGCGATGTGAACAACCTGGCTGACACCTCTTGGAGAGTATGCAGGCATCAAAGATGCTGGAGAGTCTCTTCCGGAGAACTAGGCAGAAACCAATGCATATGTATATAAGTTCAGTTGCATAAAATGCTGTTCAAGGACTTTTCAGTCCTAGCTAGGTACTGTTTATGCAAAGCAGAGTTTCCAGTATTTGGATTGCATGGGAAACTGTGGTTTGCTACATGCATGTTTGAATATTTTCCCCTCAACATCTGGAAGGAAGGAGGAAGAAGAAAGAACACATATGTTCAAGGAATGTCATGGCTTGTACAAAAGGTTAAATATTTGGGAATTTTTCTCACAACTAAATGTGCTACATTGAAAGAAGGTAACTATGGTAAACTATGTAAGGAGATTAAGAGTGATCTGGAAAAATGGGCTAACTTGCAGTTATCACTGTTGGGAAGAAGACCAATAGTTAAAATGAATATATTACCAAAGCTTTTGTTTTTATTCCAAATAATTCCCATAAAAATTGATAAAAAGTTTTTTGATGATTTAAACACCCAAGTTTCGAGATTTATATGGCAAAAGAAGAAACCAAGGATTAAATTAAAAATACTCCAGGAGGCCAAAGGGAATGGGGGTTTTGGTCTTCCTGATTGGATGCTGTATTATCAAGCTTGTGTCTTAATGTGGTTAAAAGAATGGATAATTCTAAGAAATAAGAGAATTTTATATCTTGAAGGACATGATTTACAAATGGGATGGCATGCTTATATGTGGTATGAGAAGCATGAGATGATAAGAAACACATGGCTGTTTCTTAAATCATTATATTAGAAAGTCATTAATATCGGTTTGGGAAAAGCTAAAGCTAGGTTGCCAAGATGGCTTTCTCCTATGGAAGCACTTACATATCCAAATGCATTGAATTTTAATATGATTGTGAGATATGATGGTATTTTGGATAATGATAGAAAACTGAAACCGAATCAAGAACTACAGGAGCAGGGTATTGACATTTCTTGGTGGCACAAGGTTCAACTACAATTGAGATATGTTAAAGATTATACAATGTATAGTTTTTATAAGGAATTAACAACATTTGACCAAATGCTTTTAAAATCAGATGAAAAAACGATTAAAAGATTGTATAACTTTCTTTTGGACATGAAAATGGAAGATGAACAAGTTAAGGAAACTATGGTAACATGGGCACAAAATTTTGGATATAATATTGAGCTACAGAAATGGCAAAAGCTGTGGGAAAGAAATATTAAAGTAACCTTAACAACTTCATATAAAGAAAACCTTTATAAAATGTTTTATAGATGGTATCTATCACCAAATAGATTAGCAAAAATGTTCCCAAATATGTCAAATAGATGTTGGAAATGTAAACACAAACCTGGTACATTTTATCATATGTGGTGTACTTGTGATAAGGCAAAAAATACTGGGTTAAAATACATAAATGGCTTGAGGAAATGCTAGAAAAACCTTTAACATTTAAACCTGAAGTTTTTTTTATTAGGCATTATTCCTGATGACTTTGATAAACAAACAATATATCTGATTTTACATGTAATTACTTGCAGCGAGGATTGAATTTGCTCAACACTGGAGGAATGAAGAGCCACCTATTGAAGAGTTGAGCTTAAAAAAGATTTTGGACTGTGCAGAAATGGACAGATTGACCTTGTTTCTGAAGGAGAAGGAGGATACATATTTCTATCAAAATTGGAACTCTTTTTATCATTGGTTAGAGAAACGGGACTATGCATAGATTTGAATATGGTTTCTGACTGTTAAAATGAGTAAGATGTCAACCCAGTATGTCCAATGTCTTAAATAATTGATGTTTTTAATGTTAGATTGTAGAGAAAATAATAAAATTTATTTTTTAAAAAAGGAAGTCAAATCATCAGGAAGCCAAATCAGAGTGAACAAATTTTTGCTGTCATGTTGTTGTATTTATTAATTTTCTACCCTACACATTAGCTGGAAAGATTCTCTGGAAGATAACCCCATGCATTAGCCAGGATGATAACAACAATATGCATAATAAAACAATATTAAATTAGATGTACATACTACAACAATAACATGGCAGCAATAAAACTGCTATTTCTGTTATAGCTATGTAGCCAAAGGGGAAAACACAGTTCTGAGCAGCAGCACAAAGCATTGTTGACCCTTCTGCTCAGCTGGGTGGGTGTTTGTGGTTGGCCGGTCGCCCAAACAGGCAAAAGCAGCCAGAGGGGATTGCTTGCTTCACAGCCTGCAAACAGAATGAAAAGTGACAGTGGGTGAAAGAGCTGGTATGGCTCAGCTCTAATCCCAATTCCTTTTGGACAAATGGTTGGCTATTACATTTAAATTAAGATGGGCTGGATGGGGGTTAACAAGTGGGGCACCTCAATCTAGTCCCCCAGCAGAAGCAAAGCGGCTGTGAAGTGCTCACCGTGTTCAATGTAAGTGATGAATCCCAGAGAGAGCAGCACTGCAGCCAGGTGGAAGCTCAGGCCCTAGAGGGGCGAGATGGGGGTGGGGGGGCTTCAGTCAGAACAGCAACATGTAACCCCTCCTCACAATCATATTGCTCGTAGGCAGCAGAACAGAACTTGCCTACAAGTAACTGCACCCAGGGTAAGGACCAAGGACTGCCTTTCTAAACATACCAAATTTAAAATAAGCCCTGCTGAAGGTGGACTGCAGCTTTAAGCACATACAGGACTCCTCCAAGGGAAACACACGGGGTGGTTGTGTGTATCTGCATGTGCACACATGCAGCAGCAGGGAAAGGAGTTAAGCCGGGCCTGGCCGTGCAAGCAAGTGCGAGTGTTACTTGTTTCTTTCATTTGGTTGGTCTGAAATGTTTTTGTTTTGTTTTATATTTGACAACTCTGTACCTTTTCAGTGTCCTTTACTGACCCACTATAAGCCACCTTGAGCTGCTCATACTAAGACAGAGACCCGGGATAAGAATGCTTGTCAGAAATGAATCAGACCAGTGGAAGATCATAGACCTTATTCTGTTAGCACTGGGTAGGCCCTGTATATAACTCAGATTTCTGGAGAAACGTGGTGTTTTCTGTAAGGATCCCCCTCAGAGGATGTTTAATGGCAGAAGAACAGGTTGGGCATTCTGTCCCACAGAAATGAGCAGGATCTGTTGAGAGGCAAAATTGCTCCTTTTTCTGTAGCCCTGACCCTGTAACTACAGAGGCTACCACTTGCTCATGTCTGGGTAGCTCCTTGCAACTGCCCATCAGCTGCTAAGTGTTGCCAGGCAGCCACTTTGTGTGTGTGTTGGAGGTGTGGGGGAAGAGATACCAGATGAAAGCCGACAGTCGTCTTTGCAGCAGCCTTTTGTGTGAGAGAAGGCCTATTAGGCTGGCCCTGCCAGGCCGTCACTTGGGTGGAGGGGGGGTCATAATCCACTTCAACAGGAATGACTGTGAACGGGTCAGCAGTAGATTTTTAATGTGTGGTCCCCTTGCAGAGACAAGCCCTGTTTGAGTGGCAGTTCAGGCAACCAAATATGCTGGGCCCGGAATGAGTCTTGCCTTAGAAAGAAATGCGGTGGCATGGAGAGCTCCTATTCAGGGTTCCTCCAGGGTACCTCATCTCATTCCTCGCTGCCCCTGCTTTCCACCCATCATCATGCATGCCATGGCCACTGAGCATGCTCAGTTCGCACTGGGCTGTTCTGTGGTTTCTCCCCCCACCCCACTTATAATTTTTCCTAAAAATGTGTGTCTTGCTCCCCAGTCCAGACAGGCTTTCAATAGCCTAAAAACAGCTCTATGTCTTAGGCAAGCAATTTAAACGGAGTTCACGATACACAACAAGGGCTTCTCCATTGGCAGGAGGGAGATGTGGAGCGTTCTCAGCATACACGGAGTGGAGGTTAAGCTTCCTCAACCCAATGTACTGAGACTGGAGTGGGGGGATTATGTTAGAGTACCTCTCACCTCCACCACTGTATTGCATTTATATGCCACCTCTTCTCTTGTGAGGAACTCAGGGCAGCTTACATAGCCCCTTAACAAGAACTCTGTGAGGCTCAGGATGAGTGACTGGCCCAGTTTCATGGCTGAGTGGGAACCAGAACCTGGACCTCCCAGGCCCCTGTCTAACACTTTAAGCACCACACCACGATAGCTCCATGTATGGATGGGTGTCTGTGTGCATTTGTACTAGGCGTTGCATAATTGCAGAATGTGCCCCTCAAGAGCTCAAAGATGGCACGGATTACAGGTAGCAATTACTGTTCTGAGCTGCTTTGGAGCCCCTTTGTGTGTGTGGAAAGGTAGGACACAAATGAATCAAGAAATGACTGGCCAAGCTGGGGTATGACCAAGAGCTAGAATCCAGGCACTTCCTTACAGAAAGTAAAACTCACGTGTAAGAGGGCACTGGCTGCGTAGGTTACAATGATGGCTGAGAAGGTTCCCAGTTTCAGGGAGTTCTTAAAAATATCTGGAAACAGATTGAGTTCATAAATTCATCAGGTCCTCTTCAAAAATCCCTGGCTATTTGTTTGACCTCTTCTGCTGAGAAAGAGGGGGCAAAAAAGGGGGCAAAGAAGCCCCTCTACCACAAAATGTTATTTACTTCAAGTAACAACCCTTATTCTGTTCCAGACTGAGATCCAATGATCAAAGCACCTTTTAAAAGGTTGTTACCCCATTTCTTCCCCATACAGCTCTTTCTGCCAGCACTGGATGAGTGAGACTCTCCTGTATAAGTCACCTTTGGAACAAGACTTAAGCCAATGACTTGAGAATACAACAACTTTGTCGGGTCAAATCAAACGTGTATCTAGAGCTAAGCTGGGCATATTCAAACCTGAGGGACCAACTTTGTTTTTTTACTAAGATCCCAAAACCCTCTAATCAAAAGCAGATGCAAATGAATTGGAACTCTCACAGTGGCCAATAAAGCTACACAAACACAGACATTTAACAGTCCCACTTAATGTGTCTAATTACTCGAGACAGACGTTGGCACAATACTGTGCATGCTTAGAAAAATTGCCTATAGCTCCCAGGATGCCTCAGGCAGTATGGCTGGCTTGCACACACTAGGGATTGTAAAGGCGGGTTCTGTCTAAGTACGCACAGAATCGTGTTCTCACCTTTTTACTACTCTTGCCCAGCTATTCTAAATTGCTGGCCATCTCACTTCACAGTAGTGAATTCCGGGGGTTGATTATCTCTTGCGTAGAGCAAGCTGCTCACTCCGACGTCCCCCTACAATGAGTGGAGGGCAAAAGAACCAAGTGGCAGAGATTGGGGCAGGGCCAAAAAGTGCAGCCTTCAGGTTGTTGCCTCAGATTGTGGCCTCTTGTCCTTGCAAGAGCTCATCTCAAGTATTTATACCTCGTTCTGTATACTACAGTCAAGATCAGGATTCTGTTGGTATACTGCCCACCCCACTACTCCCCAGGAAGCCAGATTCTGGCTGAACATCAGGAAGAACTTCCAGTTCTGGCAGTATGGCAATGGAACCAACAACTTAAGGATGTTGTGGGCTCTCCCATACAGGGGGCATATTCAAGAGGACAGAGATGCTTTAACTTGGGATCCTGCACTGAGCAGGAAGTTGGACTCGATGACCTCACAGGCTCCTTCCAATTCTGCTATTCTATGATTCTGCAATGCAGACAACATTCAGCCCTATCTCTCCTTTTAATCAAATCCAGATAAGGAGGCAGTGGGCATTTTGAATCTGTGCCTGAGCTCAGTATTGCAGTGAAAGAAAGTCAGTGAACCAAGACTCAATACACAGAAGAAGAAAATAATGTTGTTGCAGGTGGTGGTATGGGGTCATCTGCCCAGCTAAATGACATTCAGCCTGTTCCAGAGGGCACTGAGTTCCTCTTAAAGGATCAGGTTCATAGTTCGGGGTTGCTCTTGGATCCAGAATTGTCACTCATAGAAGAGGTGGACTTGGTGGCACACAGCACAATTTATCAGTTTAAGCTGATAGACCCACTTCATCCTAATTTGGATAGAAATAGCCTAGCAATAGTCAACCATGCTCAGGTAACCTGGCATCTGGATTACCCTAACATGAAGTTGCCTTGAAAAGCAGTCGAAAAACTCCAGCTGGTCCAAAACAGGCAACATGTTTGTTAAAGGGAACCAGCCAACAGGAGCATATTATGCCAGTGCTTATCGATTGGGCCAGGCAGGCTGTCTATCTCTGGGCCTGATTCAAAGTGGTATATTAACATTCAAGCCCTACATGGCTTAAAAGGAGCTTTTTGAAGGACCATCTCCTGCCACAAATGCCTGCCTGAACCCTAAGATCATCTTTAGTGGACCTCTTCATGGACTTGCTGCCAAATGCTGAGCTGCATGGCTGCCGGGAAGAGAGTCCTTTCTACTGTGCCACCCTGGTTATGGAATAAAGTCCCTGGAAAGGCTCACCTGGCTCCTATGTTGTGGTCTTTTTAGAGCCAGGTGAAACATTTGTATTTTCCCAGGCATTTTAGTCTTTCAGTTTCTTTTGCTTGGAATTTTTATTGCTGCTAGGCTTTATTTTGGTTTTTACTTTTATTTGATATTATGGTATAACCTTGTATTGTATTGTATTTATGGTTTTAATTACTGCAAACACCGCAAAGAACTTCAACTATTGGGCAATACAGAAATATAACGATCCCATGAATTATTCCCACCCCAACAGAGGGCCTCTTTTGTGGGAATCATTGCCAGGGTAGTGAGTTGGGCACAGCCATCCAAGGCAGAGGTCCCTATAGAGCCTGCTTCCAAGCCCCCCAGAGAAGTGAAAGCAGACAAATGCAAGGGTTCTTACAAGAGTTCAGCCAATGGGACATGGGCAGGTTCCAGCTGGTGACCACCTCTACCATGGATCGTGGCAGCTCCACATTCAGGGGACGAGAGACAGTTAGGTCCCTGAAGGAGGAAGGAAGGAATGTTACATGGGGCAGGACACAGGGAGAAGCTTTTGGGAATTTTAATTCTATTGATCTGGAAAAGGAAGGATATCTGGTGGATTAGAATGTTAAGAAGATAGTAGCCAGGCCATAGGGAAGGTGTGGGGATTTCTCTGCCTCAGCAGGAGCTCCAAAAGTGGGTTTGGTTATGATTGTCCCATGGAACTGGCTCTGACACAGGTCTTAAGTTTCTCCCATGGAATGCTGAGCTTTAAAATCAGAGTGCAAGGTTCTAGTCCTCATGTGTTTATGAGGAGAACCCCCCCCCCCAAAACAACTGGCAGCCTCTGCTGACAGTTGAGAAACTGGAGACTAGAAGAATTTTGTGAAGGGAGAGGACCAATAACCACTTGGCTCAGTTCCCACACCCACAGCATGACTTTCAAATTCATCTCCTTTCTACTACCACTTCTCTATGGTTCCCAATTTTCCTTCCCTAATTACTACATTTAAGAGGAAGAACCCCTCACCTCATGTCCCATACCCTTGAAATATTCCTTCAAAACCTATCTTATTCCTGGAGCTTGCCTTTAGCTCCTCAGTTGTTCTCATCTTAAACCAAAAGCTACATGCTAAAAGGCACACCCACTTTTGCTCATTCCCTAATTACCCTTGCTGGATTATTATTTAGTTGATTTGGTTTATACCCTTTCTTTCTACCAAAAATGGCACTCACATTGGCTTCCATTCTTTTGTCCCATTCCTTCCCCCAGAGGCAAAATTTAGATAGTAAGTTCCTTGGGGAAGGCACCTATCTCAAGGTACAAATCTTATGCATGTTTTGACAGAAGAAAGTCCACTAATCACAGCATTCCCCAGTCACTGTGGAATTGTAGGACTTTTTGCTGTCAGCACAGCATAGAATTGCATGATATTACACTGCTGTCCCATGCACACTTATTTTGGAATAGGATCCACTGAACTCAATGGGACTTACTTCTAAGTAGATATGGATATGGATAGGATTGCTGGGTTACTCTGTCAAGTACAGTATTAGATAGACTGTTTTCCCTCTCCCCGCATGATCTACCACACAGGTTAGAAACATAGAAACAGAGCAAGTCAGAAAGGGCCTCCCAGGCCATCTAGTCTGACCCCCAGCTCCAGCCAGCTCCGCTCACGACATGCCCACCATGTGGACGTCCAGCCTATCCTTGAACACCCGCACCAATGGGGCCTCAGTGACCTCTCGTGGAAGCCCATTCCACACCCTCGGGGTCCTGACTGTCAGGAAGTGCTTCCTGGCATCCAAATGGAACCTTGGCTCCCTGAGCTTTGCTTCTTTGGAGCGCGTCCTGCCTTCCTCTGCAGGGGAGAACAGGTCTCTGCCCATCTCCATGTGACATCCCCTCACATACCTGTATGATGGAAATCGGCAAGCTTTATTGAAACCAAATGCCCAGGATAAAGGGCGAATGCCATGCTATGCTTCATAACCTAACTCGGCTGCTAATATTTTGCATGCCCCCATCCTAAGGAATGGTATAAGCAGACAGGTGTACAAAATTTCTGCTTTTCCCACAGCAGGAGTCAAACCCAGGCTGCCTAGGTAAAAACCAGGAGTCCTAACTGCTAGATCATATGGAAGAAAGCTAGAAAAACTCTTTCCCATACCGGGAGTTGAACCTGGGCCGCCTAGGTGAAAACCAGGAATCCTGACTGCTAGACCATATGGGAAGGTTCTTTGTGGATATATAATGGCACTTTCCTTGAGAGGAAAGGAGGGATAGAAATCCAAATAAATAAATATTGTTAATGATAATGGGGAAGCAACATAGATTTTGAACCCAGAATCCCAAACACCCACAGCCTTACCTGCTACTCACCATTTCAAATGGTCTTTCTCTTCTGTGAATCCAGACCCTGCCAATGTAGCTGTCATTTCAGACAGGAAGCCCACAAAATAGTTGCTGAAGTGGAAAGAGCTGGCGCTCTCATATGCCCGGAGCCACCTGCGTTGCAACAACAAGTCTGCCTTAGGAATGAACTGAATTCCTTTACACACCAAGGTAGCTTAAAGAGAAGACCAATGCCCCACCATGACTCACCTCATCAAGGTGCTTCTGGCATGCCCAGGCAGGGAAAGAAAGGGACAGGAGTGAGAAACTGAAGTAAAGAAACAACACTTCAATAGACCACAGGGCTGTAGGGTGTTCCAGGGTAGTGCAGGACACTGTTCTGCCACTGCTGAAATCACTTTTGCCTCCCATTGTTATGAAATGAGGCAGGCACCATCTTACCTTTTGCCTCAGGCAGCAAAATGACTTCAGCCAGCTCTGAGTGGCAGCTCCTCCATTAGTCTAAATGATGTGATCACTTCAGGTGGCAGACGCTGCAAGGTGGCAGCAAGGTGTTGGAAGTGAACCCATGGGTCCCAGGGCCCACCCTGTGCCCCCCTAAGTTAGCTTGCTGCCTTCAGCTTTAGGGGGTTCACCGTCCCACCATCAGAAAGATACATCTACTAATCCAGCTGGCTTCTATTGCAGGGCACCCCTCTTGTTTTTTGTCTCAGGCCACAGAATGTCTTGGGCCAGCCCTGATAAATTATGATCGTGTTTCTGAACTTAGCACAGATTAGGCCTAGTCATGAAGCCAGCACCAAGCAGGTAAATCCACACAAAATATAATGTGGCACCACAGCCATTAAATGAGCCACACAACACAGGTGCATGGAAAGGACCCAGGCCTTCTCCAAAGCCTTTGGATGCCACAGATGTAAATGAGGCCAAACTACCTGTGTCAGTGAAGTGTGAAGCAAAGCACCTACATGTGGTGTGGGCCAGGCAAGGTGGCAGATGCGCCAGTCACAGAACACAAGGCAAGTCAAAAAGTCCTCCTCTGCAGATGCTCTGTGTGACAGAACATGCCATTATGGGGACACACTAATGGACCATGGGACACAGTGGCTGCTGGGCCACAGGGAAAATGAACCAATGAAGGAGCCACCACATCCTGGCCCTGTCAGCTCAAAAACACAGCACACACAGACTGTCGTTGGCAAAAGCCACATGAGGGCCGATTGCAGGGTAGGATGAGGCAAGGAATGCGGTTGTACAATGAATGGAGCACCAAACCACAGCAGCCAGGAGAAGAAGGCCACCTAGGCCTGGGTTACCTGTTTCTGTGCTTCCTGCTGTGAGTAGAGTGATCCCGACGGAGGGAGAGAAGCAAAGAGGGAGGAAGGATTGAAGAACATTAAAGGAAGCAAAAGAATACAAGAGAGAAAGAGAAATGCATCAGGGCATAAGACATTCTGACCAGCATTTAAAAATACCCATCTTTCAAAGAATTTCCTGTGTGATGTTGGAACTCTCCAGATGTGATGGACTACCACTCTCATCACACCCGGCCAGCATGCCTGCTCACCGGGTGTGATGGACACTGTAGTCCACTGTAGTCCACAGGAGGATGGGCACTATAGTCCAACACATCACCAAGTTAGGAGAAGGCTGTACTTTGGTGTTAACTCTATGAGAGGGAGAAATTTGATCACCGCAATCTCTCCTGACACCAGTGGAAGATGTCACAGCTGTTGAATTTCTCCTGGCCTCACAGCTATGAAATCCAGGAAGCAAACTGTTAAGCCTTTTGGTATTCCTTGAAACATCTCCTACCCTCATGCAGGAATTCCAATGAAACAAAAGGCTTTGTAAGAACAGCAGGAATAAGAGGTGTCACAACCAGAACAAATGCAGATGCTGTTTCTTAGAGTGAGGTGCTTTCCTCTGAACCGTATGAACTGACTAGATCATAGGACCAAAATAGCAAAATGTAAGGTGTCATCACAATCTAAAGAGCAGCATTCTGGTGAGCAAAGGAGGTCAGCTAAAGAAAAGGGATAACTATCAGCCTCTTATTCCATGTCGGTGTCACAAACACCCATTTCCCTTACAAACACACACACTGAAAAAGGACAGAAAAAAACACTTGTTTTTGTTATTCCTTGACAACTGTTTTGATTGTGCCTGATGAACATGAAGGGGTAAGTAATCTGCAGGAAGTAACCTGAAGTTTGAAATGAAGGATGTACCCCATGTGCCTGATTCCACTTTTCCACTTCCCCCTCTTCACAAGAAGCAGATAGCATCTAAACGGCAAAACTGAAATCCATTTTTAAAGCCAAAAGTATGCAGATGTGCTTTACAGCAATTAACAATTCAGAGGTATGGCTAAGATGGTTAATGATGGGAACCACCCAGAACAATGCAGTTTAAAAAGAATTATAATCCTACCACTTTTCTGGACCTCTTGGGAGTAATCCTGCCCAGTATGAAGAAACCTCCTTTAACTCCACCATCTTCCCTGATGGTGGAGTTAAAGGAGTGCTGGCTATGGGGGTTTCATGGACCACGCTCATTGTCCCGACCAACTTACTTCCTGAGCAGCTTGTAGCTGTAGAGGGGTATTAAGTAAGAGAAGAGGTAGGGGGCCACACATGTGGACATGATGAGGCACACAAGACAGAGGAAGAAGCTCAGGCAGACCTTCTGGAACCAGGAGAAACTCTATGTGGAAGGGAAGAGAAAAAGCAAGGCATTATCTCTGATGCATCCTGCACATTGCTTTGAGGTCACAAACTGATGATGAGACCAGACAAGAGACCGTCTTCATTCATACGGATTTAATACCTGGTTGTCATGGCAGCCATAACATTATGTGAATGTGGATGCTGGTCCCCAACAGCATTTTTGATGGGCTGCTGCTGTCTGGGAAGCGCTTGGGGCCAAGGAAGGGCAAAGATGCCAGGGCTTTGCAATAGGCAAGTAAGATCCAAGCAACCTAGAAGGAGGCCCAAGAGATAAAGGGGCTTCATCCAGAGGTCTTGAACCTCAGGCCCACGAGCCAAATTCAGTCCTCGGGACTCTCTAGATGGCCCGGAGCCCTTCACCACCACCACCACCACTACCACCCTTTCCCAGCCACCCACTGTTTGTTGGTTTCTTAGCTTTTGTACCTATTTTTGCCCTAGTCCAGAAGACTTAAATACCAAAAGGAAGAGCTCTGAACTACAATATGTTCATTTGCCTTTTTGGTGTGTGTGTGGGGGTACTTTTAGCCCTTCTCCCTTTTGCCCTGACAGCTTCCCTGAAACTGAATTCATCCCTTGGGCTGAAAGAGGTTCAACACCTGCACTTTAATTCGACATAATGTGATTAATCTCCTCTCCCATCATGGGACTTCCCCTTGTCATTCTCCCAGTAATGTACCCCACAACATCTGCTCCATTTCACTTCAGTTATGTTTCTATATCACCCAATAGCCAGAACTCTCTCAGTGGACTGCAAAGATTAAAACCTTAAAAATACATTACAAAACATATATACAAGCATATGAACCAATCAGAGACATACACGCACACATCTAAAAGCAATTCCTCCCACTCTCAGCCTTCTGGAGCAGATTGGGGTGGCATGCAGGGTCAGCGGAAATTTCATCCTTCAGTAGCTTCTATTCTATTGGGGAAAGACACCACTAAGTACACTCCAGAGTACGTCCTTTGCGCACCAAGAACTTCCTGAATGTTAAAGCCGTATGACAATGGATGTGTTGACCCAGGTAGTTGTGGACTCTCACACTCTGGAGGCATTCAAGAGGCAGCTGGACAGCCATCTGAGAGGAATGGCTTAACTTGGAGTCCTCCACTGAGCAGGGGGGTTGGACCCAATAGCCTTTTTGGCCCCTTCTACTAGCTCTACTATTCTACATTTCTATGATTCTAAGAGTTTTATGGACCTGAGACAGAAGGAAACTGACCTCAGATATCTCAGAAGGATGAAGGAAGGAAAGGGCAGCCAGTCAAGAAATTTGATGAGGATGCTGTGTGCATGTACAAAGATATTCCATGAATATTCTTGGGACTTCAGGAATACTCTAGGGCCCATCCATACATTTATATTTTTCTTTATTCATTCTATTAATATTCTTCCTTCCTGGAAAGCACCCAAGGTAGCTTACAAATGATTCAAAACATGAAAACTCTATTCAAAGAAAAACAGAGTTTAACTTTGAAAACCACAAACAATTATTTTAAAAGCTCAGTTTAAAAGATGTTAAAAAGTCAGCTTAAAAGCTTTCAGCTCTCTGCTAGAACAATGAAGTAGATCTTTCCTTTGTTTCTCTGCAAGTAGAAAATCCAAAGCAGGGCAGTAACCAGGGCATAGGTCTGCTTCCAGTATGCTGGCCAATAAGCACAAAAGGAATAGGATTATTAATTCATCTGTCTCTAAAACATTAAAACTAAGCATTTTAGACAACATATGGATTTGTGATGCCTGCATTCTCACAGGTCCACAATTTCTGGCCATGGGCCTGGCTGGAAATTAACGATGTCTCCTCTGGTTTGACCATTTGCATGTCCAGACAAGATGGGCAAAGATTTCCAGGCTCCAATGGCAGTGCTATTCTAATGGACTATCAAAGAAGAGTCTGAGTTTGACCCCACCCAGACACTAGCTGTCTACCATGCAGGGTCAGGAGTACCTGAGTGCACTTACCATTCTCCGGCTTTCCACGGCCTGTAGGTAGGTGCGGAAACGGAACCAGGGTCCAAAGATGACTGTTCCAATGAAGTAGATATAACCCATGAACTCAACTGGGGAGGGGATGGCTGGCACCTCACCCCGGTCCAGATCAAAGCCCAGCGACACAGCTTTCATGGCCACAATCATCTGGGCACCTGGTGGTAGTAGACAGAGGTGTGGCAGATAGACAGTGCTTATGTTCTTAACAGAGAAGTTACAGAATTCACTATTGCAAGATAGGTGGCCACTGGCCTAGATGACTTGATTTAAAAGATACTCAGATGCAGAATGAACTATTCATGGAAGATCAGTGGGGCCTCCATGTACATGGGCATTATCACTCCTTCTAGCAGCAAACTCACCCAGTTAGTACAGACAGGATTGTAGCCAGAACAGAACTGCTAAGAAACAAGATGGAGGTATCAGCATACTTGGGGAAACACAAGGCTCACAGCAGCATAAAACTAGTATAAAAGGCGAACAATGTAAGAGGAGATACACACACCAAAAATAAAAAAAGAATCAATGTGGCCTGAAGCATGCTCAGAAGCCATATACTACAGTTGGAAAAGTGAAGTCAAACATGTGAGGTACTGGGAGGGGGTCGCTGGCTGGAGCCTGGCTTTCCTGCTGAGGATATACTGCCACATTTTGTTCCAGGTCCCACAAAGTCTCCACTAACAGTGCGGACAAGCAACAGGAAAAGAACGTCTGCTTCATGCCCAATTCATCAGCTTCCTGGAGGCTTCTGAAAAGCCAGCTTTTCCAACCTGGTGCTCTCCAGATATGTTGGACTAGAACTCCTAACATTCCCCAGCCACTTATGTTACAGTCCTACTCATTTGGAAGGCACTAGGTTGGGGAAACATCTTTGGTGATACCAGAACTGGAGGAGCAAATAGGCCCAGGCCACTCATGCTTTCTTAAATTGAAGCTCAGTGGACCAGGCATCTTGCCCAGACCCTCTAATGAGTCTATTCAAACCTACTTCCTGAATCAGACAAGCCCTGGCTTACAATCCTACTTTATCTCCCATCAGTCTAGCCAGTGATCAGGAATGTGGGGTGTTCTCTAAAGCATCTGGAAGGTGCCAGACTGAGGAAGGCTGGCTTAGCCTCTCTTCCCCGAACCAGGCACTGAATCCTAGGGTGAACAGGTATGAAGACTCCCTGCTGAACAGCACTTCCTGCTTATGGAGTAAAAGCATGCTTCCTCCACACATGGATCTCCTGCCCCCAGAGAGCTTCACCATCTCACCCACCATACCCCAAGGTATGCTGAACACTCACCTCTCATCTTATGCCAGCTCACTGTGTCCACCATGTGCATTTCCCTGCATGTGCAGAGAGGAAGACAAGTAAGTTTCTGTGTATCTATGCTTAACTTTCCCCCCTCCCCATCCCTTTTCCAAAAGACAGCCCCTTGTGAAGTGTCTTTTCAACTGGTTTTACCAATCACAAGAGAGACCATTTTTATCCCAGAGGACAGAAGAGCTGGAATCCCCCGACCTCAAAACTTTCAGCTATCCCATCCTATCAGTCTCTTGCCCCTGTCTACCCTTCCCAGTGTGTGAAATCAAGTCTCCCACCAGCTAAGTTCCTGACCATTGGTTGCCCCCATCTCTAGCTGTTGCTTCAGGCCCTTAACTTTGGCCAGTTTCCTTTCTCCATTGTCTAGCCTCCTTTCTGGGGTCATTTGTCAAGTCTTTTGCCTACTGGTCTTTTGCCTACTAGCCTTTTCAATGTTTTCAACGTTATTTAGACTAGTTTAGCCCAGAGGTCCCCAACATTTGGGTTGCTGAGCAAAAAATGGCTGCCACAAACAGAGGTTGGCACAGTTGGTCGCAAAACATTTCCCCAAAGGGAAGTTGATGATACTAAAAGAAAAATAACATGCCTAAAAGATATAAATCAAAGGAAGAGTCTGATCTCCAAAGCTCAGCAATGCTCTTTGAACCCAAATAAATATGGTGCAGTATCTCGCAGTGTACCAAACTCCAAACCATAGTTTATAAAATAAAAATAAAAAGGGCCAAGGAGCTTGGTGAGTTTGGGAACTATGCTGGAGATCCCATGTTTAACCTCTCTCAGTTAGCTCCTCCCCACTCGCTCTTCAACCACTGATCCAGACACAATCACCTGGCTCCACTCTCAATCAATGCCCATCCTTCTCCCCTCCTTTACACCAAAGCTGCCTTTGTTGACCTGGCTTTGTTCCACTGTTATTGAGGTCTTGTTACCAGGTTTCTGATCCTTTCACACCCTGCTCTGCATTAGCTAACCCTTCTTCCCAGTAGGTTGTGCATTACTGCAGTTGCTTTCTGGCTAACAATCCCCACTCACCCCATGAGCAAGTAGATGAGAATGGTAATGGAGAGCAGGACACCACGCTGGGTCGAGTGGCGGCACAGGAACAGCACCAGGTAGCACAGGAGGCTGAGGAGGACCACCCACACCATCTGTAGCTGGAAGAAGTGGTAGAGGGCATAGAAGCCACTCGCCACAGTGCTCAGGTGCTTAGCATAGGATGGCAGAGCTGCAAGGGAAGGGCCAGTGAGGGAGACAAGGGTCATAAGAAGCTGCTTGAGGCAAAGGTTATTCCGTCCACCCGGCCCGGTATCCAGGGTACCCAATCTGTTTGAGTATGGAGGCACAGTGGAAACTTGGTGGGCTCTGTGGGAGCTCTCACAAAATGGATGCCATGGGGGGGGGGTCACTTGCCATGCTGGGCATGGCTGGTCACAAAACGCTCATTTCCCAGGAGGCAAAGGATGAGACTCAAAGAACAGTAACTTGCCAAAGAATTTACATGTGTGGCAAGGGGGCTCTGAGCTCCAAAGCACATGACTTCTCAACTGAGCCCAAGGGAAGATGGTGTGGAGCCAGATGTGCACCAAGGGAAGTATCCATGGAAGGCCCAAATCTACTGTGACTGACAGCAGGCCTCCAAGGTCTCAGGCCTTTCACATCACCAGCTACCTGGCCCCTTCAACTAACTGGGCCTCAACCCTTCTATCTCTCTCTGCTGGACCATGACTATAGTGAAATGGAGCATGCCAAGAAAACTGGAAGAGAAGGAGGAGCATTTAGGTTTGCAGTCTTGAGGTTATGAGCACTGTAACACCGCAGCCAAGCTATTTCTGTTCAAGACAGGTCATAGCCAGTGAATCGCATGAAGCTGATAAAAGGCACTCTGAGCTTCCAACACTACTAGAGACTCCACTGACAATTATGGATCCAGGAGCACCCTTAGGCTACAAACCTTTGTAAAGGAATGTGTCACCATCCAGGTCTAGCAATGTGGCTCTCTCTTAGACTTGGGAACTATTCATGCACAGGGCTCCTGTCTTGCCAGTTGACTGGCTCTCAAGCACCATTGATCTCAGACTTGCACAGACTCACCTGAGCCAGAAGTCAGAGGGAAACAGAGCTGTGTGTCGTTGACATAATGATAGCACACAGCTCTAAGTCCCCAGTGGTCATTCTCAGAAGCTTCATAGAGATGTTAAACAACACTGGGCAAGATGGTATTCTGCCAAACAGCATACCTCAATCGCCAGAGAGCCAAGGAATAGTTACCCAATGGCACTTTCTGAAGTAGCCCCCACAGGTAAGACAGTGCTGAGCCTACGGAGTCAATCCAGGAGAATACTGTGGCTGATGGTATCAAAAGCCAACAGGAGTGCAAGCAGAATTAGCACTCCTTTCCCAATCAAAGCAATCCCTCAGGGCCATAGCTCATAAACCTCAAGTGCAGAAGACAGATGCAACTCTATCTTCAGGGAATCCCTACTCTCACGCACACAACAGGTATTAAACTAAACAGGCAAGCAAGCAAACAACAGAGGGGGGCAGTCTTCTAAGTGTTGAATGAAGAATATGGTTGCATCAGAACACAGGAAACCAACTTGTGGCCCTAGATGCTTTGGCCCACCACTCCCATCAGGCATAAGCAACATAGACTATAAGTTATAAGTAGCACCATCCTAAGGGATGATGGGAGTAGCAGGCCAAAAGAGCCCAAGGGTCACAAGTTGTCCCTGCCTGCACCACGGGATTGTGTTTATCCATATAATGGCTGTACTTACCCAATCTCCAAAGGAGACGGCACACCAAGCACAAAAGGAGAAGCATCCAGACCTGTTCAAAGCCCTGCTGAGCAGTGGGCAGCACACAGCCACTCAGCAGCTGCTGATAGAACTCTTCCCGTGTGAATGTGGCCATGGCCACAGCCTGGAGGAAGCAGCAGAGAATGGGATGTCAAGGCAAGTGGCTGAGAGATCACTCCTCATAACTGTTGTGCTGGTCTCCCATACATGTGCCTGGCTCCAAAGGCAAGGCAAACAGAGTTTATTTGACAGATGAATGCCAAGTGCTGCACCATGCACCCAGTTTAGTACAATTTATTTATTTATTTATTTTCCCACCCTTTACAATGTCTCAGGGCAGTGATAACATAAACAAACAGGACACAGCATCACACAAAATATAAAATCAACACTAAAAACAAACTAACATTTAAAATACTGGGAAAATAAAAAGGGTTTGGCCTGGTGCCAAAATGAAAAATGTTAGTACTAGGTGCACCTCTCGGGGGAACTGATTCCATAGCCAGGGCGCCAACACAGTGAAGGCCCTCCTCCAAGTAACCACTCTTCTGATCTCCTTCAAAGAGGGCTCCCGAGGAAGGACCTCTGCTCTAGGTCTTAAGAGGCCAGGCAGGTATATATGGATGAGATACATTTGTTGTATTTCATCACAGAATCATGGGATACACAGAGCCCTGCTCTTAAGTTTCAAGCATTCCAGCTCTGTTCCCCTGAACATGTTAAAGATTGTTTCTGAGCGTGCAGGCACCCAGCCACAGATGGACATGCTGAACCTGCTGAGTTCCTGCCAACTGGTCATTACGCTGATTCACATTAATCCAAACAACAGGACACAGCCCACACGAAGTGATGGACAGGACCACTGTCTGATGTAGTACTTGTGCTGCCACCCTCCCTTGTGAGGGACTGAATGAGCAGCAGGGGAAATGGGCAGTATCTAGGCATTCTCCTGGTCTGATGGTATAGGATGCCACACCAGGCAATTCTGAGTCTGGTCAGTACCTGGATAGGACACTGCTTGGGAATGGCATGCATGCAGCCTTGAATTTCATGATAAAAGAAAGGTGAGATTTATACCTATTAAATGTTTGCAATGGAAGTAAGTTTCACAGAAAAGTATGGAATCCTTGTATCTCTCCAAAATATAAACAAACATCTACAAACAAATGTTAACAAATGTTAAGTTAGCATAAAGCTTCCTTTGCCTGGAGACAAATCTCAGCTTGGCACAGGAAACTGGTTAAGAGTAGTGATGTATAAACTTCCATCTGGACTTCAGATTGTCAGGGACCTTGCCTTACATCTTCTGCTCAGTGACAGAATCAGAGTTTGCACAAATGTGTTATATGGATTTGTGCAAATCCCCCAGTCTTAAAAATGCCCCATCTGCTTTTTTTGTCCTTTATTCTATGAGGGAAATGCACATTGTTACCATCTTTTAAGTTGTTCTACATGTTTATAGTCAAAGGAAGTAAAATAAAAAGGCCCACTAGTCTGCAGAATCTGTGCTACTTGGGAAAACCTGATCTACTTCTGATGCACAGAAATCCAAACTCATATGGATCCCTTGTGGATTTCTCTGAAATCTGTAATTAGTGGCTATTTATAGACCTCATTTAGAAGAGAGAGTTATGCTAATAAGAGATCTTTAAACAAATTTAATAAACATGAATCATAGTATTATTCCAAATGCCAGCAGCTCCTTAAAAGAAGTTAGTAGAACATCGCTCATGGAAGAACATCACTAGCTCCACACTAACAGCAGAACTCCAGCTTTTTACTTTATTTTTCTCAATCATCTTCACCATCATCAAACCAACACAAAAACCAGATGGAAAGGTACAGGACAAGGGCAGATATAAATCCCTGCATAGCTACACAGAGTGGAGAAGAAATGGTTGGTGAATCATTTATAACGGATGAATTAGTGGAAAGTTGCATATGGAGTGATCATGGCTTGAGGGTTACATGAAGGGGATCCATGGCTGATTCTGTAGCAGCAGCCAGCTGGAAGACTGAATAACTGGATTTGCTTGCTGGTGGAAACAGGAAGGGAATGCTGGTAATGGAAAGAACTGTGGGTTTTTAGACAAAGGAAATCTCGCAGATGGAACTGAAACAAAATCAGACTAAGAATGTCCTGCCGGGGAGCCATCCACTTCCTTTTTCCCTCTGGAGGATAAAGGCCAGGAAAGTCCTCCTCTGTTCCTCACTACCAGCCCGAAGGGGATACCAGATCGTTTTTCTAGCAGCACTGAATCAAAGATGGGGGAGGGGTCGTGGTGGGAATCCCATCGAAATTGCACTGATCCTACCGCTCTAGAGAGAAGGAAGGGAATGCCTGCTATCAACGGATGCAGATATTTAGGAATGCAAAAATGGAATAAACTCTATTGCAGATTCGACAGCTTATTCACCTCGCTGCATTGCAAAAGATCCCCCACCCCCACACTTAGTCTCCCCCAGACCTTGTCTAAGTGCCTCTGATCCCCCTCTTCTTTAGACCAGCTGTTCACCAGGTTCCAGCTGTACTTCTTAAAGAGGCAGGCACAGGATTGTTAACTCACCAGTGCGCCAGTTTCCACCACCCTCCTTTTCCAGCTCTGCGGGGCTGCGTGTCGGTTTTCTCCCTTACCCCCTCCTCCCACCCCATACACACACAAAAAAAGACTGGAAAACTGGGAAAGGAGGTAGGCGGTGGGAAAAGGGTGCAATAATCCCTTTTAAAATTAGAGGCTGATTGATTTGAGAAACCAATAGGAAGGCTGAAAAATAATAATTGAGGTGGCTTATTGGCCAATCAGAGGGAAGAAATGAGGCGGGTGCAAGAGGATAGCCAATGAGGAGAAAGAGCAAAGAGACTGAGAAAAAGGAGCAGATATCCCACTTCGTTATTTTCCTAGGTTCTGTAATGTTGCTCTCTTCGTCGTCTCAGCCGATTTCGTTGCAAAACTGGAAATCCTGCAAGCAACAGAAGAGCTTATAGTGGCCAGCGAAGAAGCAACATATATATATTTTTAAATCTGGTCCGTATGGCTGGATATGATATAAAACTGCCTTGCGGCGCCCTAACTAGATTTCGGTTCCCGGGAGCGTTTTGGAGAACATTATGCAGTCAAGGACACTATCCTATGCATGTACAGACAGAAAAGTCCTGGTATTCCCAGCATGCCCGGGCCACCATGAGGGTTACTGGGAGTTATAGGACTTTTTGTTTTTGTTGTCCGAACATGTACAAGATCTCTCCCCACCCCCCAAATTGGTATAAAATCAATAGAATTTTAAAGGTGATGATGCTGATTGGAGGAGAGACCTGGAATAAAAGCCATGTCAGGTGGGTAGCAGGGGGAGACCACATTTGCTTTGCCCCCTTTTAAAAATACACATTTCAAAACAGTTTATAATGTCTTTTAAAAACTTGCAAACCAGATGAACTACTACCATTTTGGAGCCTCCCACCCCAATTTTGTTAGGCTACCTACCAACTTGGTGGGCAGAGAAAGAAGATCCGAATCTACTAGTAGATCTTGGAGCGATTTTCAATGGATGGGTGATTTCTGACTTCTAGTTGTTTAACAACAACAGTGACAAAATGATACCTACCCCAATATGACAGTATTGAGATCAGACCAAAGGACAGTATGATACTACAGAACATTTGGGGTCACCAGGAGTGGATTTCTGACTGGGAGGTCTGAGCATTTCCTTCAGTTTATTACTCAAAAGATATTCTGGCTCTGAATTCTTTCATTCTAAGTGTATCTCTGATACATAGAACTCAGGTTCTGGTGAAACACTGCAAGCCTGAAATCTTGCAGTGAAAAACCACTGTTTTAAATAAGTGGATGCATTTTATGGCAAGGGAGGAAGTTGCAAGAAGAGAGCTTTGCTTGTAGGAGACAGAAAGAGAATGCCTCCAGATAAGGCTTTTATCTCCCTGTCACTTCGCCTTTTCACAGAGCTTTGTAGGAAGAGTGCCCAGACAATGTCTTCCACTTGTACTCCAGTATTTTTCTGCCTCTTTTGCTGTACTTTTTTTTCTTACTGTCAAAACATTCTTATGGAAGACAAGGCAGAAGATCAACAAAGTCTGAATCCAGTCAGTTTTTGGAGCCAACAAAATGAAACAGCCTTATATGGAACCCCTGAAATACTGTAACTCAAAGATAGTAACCAATATTTAAATGAATATTTTAAAGCTGTATAAATGTTTGAGCACATGCAACAAATATCTCACCATCAAGATAGATTTTACAGAAGTTGCTGCTTTTAATCTATAAATTGATAATGTTATGTTTTGCTTTTCATGGGCTCTATGCTTCTGTATACCAGATGGTGCTATTCTATTTGTATTTTTAATATATTTCTTATGTTTATATCCCACCTTTTTCCTGCAAGGAATTCAAAGTAACTTACATAATATTCCTCTCCATTTTATTCTCTCAAGAACAAGCCAGCAAGTAGATTTTGCTGAGAGCAGTTAACTGGCTCAACATTATCCAGTGATCTTCATGAAGGACTAATAAGGACTAGAACTCAGATCTCTCAAATCCCACTGCAGCACTCTATTGACTGCACTGCAACAGCTTGTGGCCTCTTTATGGGCTTCCACAAGCTGTTGGTCGACCACTGTATGAATGATAATTCTGACAGGTGTGAAAGGATGATTTGAAACAAGGGAGTAAAGAGATTTGAAAAGGTGACAAAGAAAATTACTTAGCCCAAAGCAGGGGAGGGGCCAAAATCAGATAGCACAAGGTATTTATTTATTTATTTGGAATTTTTGTATGCCGTCCCATTCGCATAAGCCTCAGGACTGCTTCCAACATTATAAATAAATACATTTATATAAATATATACATATATAAAATCCGGAAACATCCTGGCACAAAATTATAAAACCAATAAATAAAATCAATGATTATTAAAATATAATTTAAATGAAAAGGTCTTGGCCTGGCGTCGAAAAACAAATAACAACGGTGCCAGGCGGACCTCTCTGGGGAGAGCGTTCCATAAGTGGGGCACCACTGCAGAGAAGGCCCTTCTCCGGGTACTCACCCTCCTAAAATCTTTCACAGAGGGTTCCCGGAGAAGAGCCTCTTCTGCTGTCAGAATCCCGGAATCGGAATCTCAATTTGAGAAGAGGAAATAAAACTCGGGTTAGTGGGAAAGATCAAGCATCCAGATCATCTAGACTTTATTGTATTAACCCAAGGTTCCTGCGGTATTCACGATATGCATGCATTAGCAGGCAGGCAGAGGTGAACTCTGCTGCAAAGCTTCAACACATTGTAGGGTATTTTATAGGGACACAGGTACAGGGCAATTGATGACAATGCAGAGATTGCAATAAGATTCTGAGATCATCACATACAGAATAGATAAAGAAATGTCAGTCAATCATACAGTAACAATGAGATTACAATGTTTCTAATGGCCTGTATTGACACTTTAGTTCAGTAGCTTGAACCCATCTCCAGGTCTGCTTAGACATGTAAATTGAAGCTACTGAGAAACTATGCATGAGCTCAAGACTCCTATCTAGACTTTAGACATTCTGAATTGGCCAGGGCACATGGAGCCTCTGGGCTAGGAAGATACTTCCTTGAATTCCAACAATGATTATTTAATCATTGTGAAGGTATACAATGTAAATTCGGACTAAATGACCTGTGCACTGTAGCTTACAGCTAAAGGTGAGAGAAAGGAGCGGGGGAATGCCATTTTAAACAGTGACTGCTTGGTTTTGAGAAGAAAGACAGGATTTGATCCCACAATGCAAAGGCACACAGAAGTAATGCTTTTCAGACAGGATTTGTCCAAATTTTCCCAACACTGCCAATCTCAAGGGGCAGGGAAACAGGCATGTAGGCAGGAGGGCCAAATACTTGCTGATTGTTTTTTGACAAGCTGGGCAGAACAAAATGAGCCTATTGTAGCCCACCAGGGGCAGGACTGGATTGGGAAGAAGGGCCGGTGTTGGGGCAGTGCAGAGTAGGCAGGCGGAAAGAGTGTAAACTCTCAGTACCCTATTAGCCAATTAGGGGAAAGGAGGAGGGAACAAGCGGCTGAGAGCAGGGTTCAAGGGGTGGGGGTGAACATGTGCTCAGGTGAACAGAAAAATGGGAAGGAAACCATTCTTTTCTGTTCCCTTCATTGCAATAAAGTTTTAAAAAGAACTCTGCAAGCCTGGAATATTTTTCTCTTCCAACGGAAAGGAAAGAGTGTTTACAACAATCCCACATGATCTTGTGTGATCTTCTTGTTAAATAAGCCCATCACCAACCGTGGGTTTGTCTAAAGTACTACTAAGATACTACTACGCTGCGTTTGCTAAATGAATTTTAATAGCTTATGCCCTCGATTTTCTCTCAATGGCTGCTAATTGTTCAAAGATTGTTTTTTGATATATGACTATTCCGAAATATTGTGAATAAGGAAAACCATTTAAAGAAGCAGGTAAGCGGTAGAGCTCCCCACTCCCCTAAAATGATGCGATCTAGGTCCCTGCCAGGAAAGAAACCACATAAACCCTTCACTTTTTTTTGCAGAAGCTGGCAACAGTCCCATACCTATCACATGTGAATAGCAGCCATCAGTCTACGTAAATCACCCCCATACAGCCCTGATTCAGTGTCCACTGGCGTACAAAAACACTTTTGCTCAGAACAAAGACTCAAATAGAAACTCAAGATCAAAACCTGCTGGGCAGCGTGCGACTCTAAAGTTTTATTAATCTGCCGTGCATAGACATAAAAAAAATGGCATGCAGATTAACATATGAACCCACATCGCCTCAGCTACTCATTAGCCAATCACTTTGCTGGGTTACTCTGTGACATCAAGCGTTTACCTTCTTATTATAGGAGAGAGAGAAGCAGAAGCCGTGAGTGGTGCACGTCTTTTCTCTTGAAATAAGCTGATTGGCTTAGATGTCTGCTCATCGACCTACCATGTAGGAGCTGTAGTGGCTGCGGTGATGAACTTAAGGTAACTGTCGAATTCGGCTGGGACGTTTATGTAGAGGCTTCTGAGGATAGCAGGTAAGACTTGCAAATTGATTTTCGATTAACGTCTAAAACAAGGAAGGTGCAAGGGTGGAAAATGGCCTGAGTGCTATGCATTGCGACAGCGTCTCGCCTGTCTCGGACTGTGGGGGAGTGAAAAATGCACTTTGTACATGCCTAGCGGCAAACTAACTTGTTACTGCGCTTGCACAGTACCTGGCATTATGATGGATGGTGGGAGAGATTTAGTGTTCCATGTAAAACGAATGCTTCTTAAAGTAGATCCGTTAGAATAAATGGATCGTCAGTTAGACAAACGCTGAATGCATCTCATGGATTCACATTTCTCGTGGTTTGCTATCGGGTTCGAAATCTAAGGCCAACATTCGTCCTGGGTTTTGTTTTGGTCGGTCAAACTCAGAAAGAACATTGGAGAGCTGAAAAAGATCCCGGAAGCAGCAACTGGAGGGATGAGGAGGCTGGAGAGCACCTTTCCAGTCAAAGGAAGCTAAAGCGACTGGGGCCATTTAGCTTACTAATACTACTACTTTTTGGTGGTAGGAAGCTCATAGAAGCTACTATCATACAGTAGTATAATCTGGGCGCTACCTGGGAATAAGTCCCTTTGGGCTTAGTGGAGCTTTCTTCTAAGTAGACCTCTACAGCATTGCACTGTGATGGGTTAGGGGAGAGATCATGGGATAGGTTTGGGTGTGAAAAATAGAAAGAAAAAGTCTTCTCCTAACTCTTGAAATTCACTGGCAGCAGATTGAAGTAAAGTGCTCCATAGTCCACACAATTCATTTACTGAGTTTGCTTGCTACCACAAGATGTGAAGCTGGCTAATCAGAGAGCTTTAAAAGGTGAGTTAGAGCATTTGCTGTAGAACAGGTTTGATAATGGCTGTTAGTTAGCCATAGAGACTTCTAAGGGTGGAGGTGTTCTGCCACTCAGTACTGATGTGCAAAGGGTGTGGAAAACCCAACCCTGTTGCTCCTTGGAGACACTAGGCCTCCACAGATCATAAGATCATTGAGTCTCTGGTCTCATCCAGCAGTGATCATTCTTAGAAAGGAGGGGGAAAAGCCTGTCCCTGGCTAGGAAATGCTATGAGTTGTGAGGCTTATTTTCATCTAAACACCCTTAAATGACAATATGCAGATTTTTTGTATTTTAGCTCCACCCATTTTGTCTTTTGCTCCACCCACTAGTAGGAGGTGGCCCCAAGATTGTTCTGATGATTCATTGTTCTGATGATGATGTTCTGATGATTTATTGTTCTGTTACATTTGTGACACTTGTGCTTTGCAGGAAAATAAAACTTATCACTACCAACATGATTTATTTTCTTTCAGGAAGGTCTGCCCTCACCACCCTGAGCAACTTAGTTTCTTCCTCTTCTACTGCAATGGGGCTGGAAGCAAAACCCATTTCTGTGCCCCATCCCTACTGGCCTCGAAATCTGGAGCTCCAGCACTATGTCCCAAATGATCGTCCCATGTGGCAGATTTTGGCTTTCCTCTTCTCTGTTTCTGGAGCCCTCTTGATACTGACGTGGCTTGCATCCAGGTGGCGGAGCGGAATGCCTGCCCCTCTCGGAACTGGGCGTTCCTTGGCTATCTGCTGGTTTGCCATATGTGGTTTTATTCATGGCATCATTGAAGGCTGGTTCAGCTTGTACCACATGGAAATCCCCGGGGACCAATCCTTTCTCTCACAGCTCTGTAAGCTGTAGTTAAATGCATTGGAATTGGGAAAGGGGTATATGCAGGACATCTAGGTTCTGTCCTGAGCAATGGGGAAGGGTGATGCAGCTGGTTGGTGACTGAGGTTCCAGAGTTATGGCTGTTTTTGTTTGTTTGTTTTGCAAAGGTTGTGGGGCCCTTAGAGACAGCAGAGCAGGTGGTGGCATGGGCAAGGACAATGTTGTATTGCAATCACCTGTTCTTCCTAGAGAGGTTCTGGAATTGCTCTTGCAATCTTGCTGGGGCTGGAACAGAACTGGGTGTGCAGCTGCCAAAGCCTTGCTCCATGTTTGCCCAGGGCTGCACTAAGTGGTGGGGCTGCTTGTCTACCCTTGCAGAGGAACTGGCTCCTTACAGTTAGACAAGAGACCCACATGCAGTCTCCTGCTGCAGCCCTCTTTGATGTGGTATGAAAGGAACAGAAGAAGCTGTTCTTCCAACTTCCTCAGTCCAATGGGTCCAGCTATCTCAGTACTGACCAGTGCTGAGCTACTTGTGATTCTCCAGAGGTTTATGGTCTGCAACTCCCATCCGCCCCAGCCAGTATAGTCAACGTTGAGGGATGTCAGACAATATATATCAACAATATATCAACATACATATTTATGTGTGTGTGTATCAACAATATATTAACAGTCCAACAATATCGGGGGTACATGATGCCTACACTGACTGGGAGTGTCTTTCTAGGCTTTCCAGGTTTTCAGTCCTGCCTGCAGATACAGATTGTGTTTTGAAGGCTTTCTTTGCTTGTATAAGATCCTGGTCCTCTTACTAATCATTTCCATTCCTCTGCGAGCCATAGACTCATCTTGCCCTCTGACTGCAGAGGTGAAGGGTAGCACGCTCTGGCCTTATCCATCAGCCAGGAACAGGGCTGGAGTCAAGGGTAGGCAGAACTGGGTACCAGCTGGTGGCCACACCTTAGCAGCACTCCCTGCCTTCCAAGAATAGCATCAGAACAAAGCCAGCTACCTTTTCTTATCAGTCAATGAAAAAGAAGCTGATCAGCACTTAAGTTTGTTTTCCATTCCAGTTCTTTTTTCCCCCTGTATGTGAACATGAGAATGTGAACATATGGGCAGGTACATTCTTGACTTTAAATAGCTCTACAACACTTAGAAAGTTGTGGGTGCTTTAGGGCACAGTCCTGTGGCTGCTAGATTGAATCTACAAAATTTTACTGGCCACAGACTTTTTGGCGTCCCAGCCCCAACAATGGAAATTTGTTCTGAGGTTGGATCTGGGGCTACAAGCTCAGAGTGCCCTTCCATCTTTGCAGCTAATGCAGAAAGAACTTTGAGATTTCAGAGAGTGGGTTTTGAGGGCAGGGAAAGATGGAGTCTGTCACCTCTAGCATGCAAAGAGTCTTGGCAGTGCTTCAACCTCTTGCACTTGAATCAAATCCCTTAGGAGACTGAAATTGGACATCTAAGTGTCTCAGGTCTGGAGAAGACTCCAGCGTGATCTTCATTCTGCATGAGTTGTTAACAGGCTGTCAAGTTGTTTCCGACTGACATTGCCCCTATGAGCAAATGCCTTCCAAAATGTCCTGTCCTTGACGACTCTGCTCAGCTCTTGTAAACTCAAGGCTGTGGCTCCATTTATGGAATCAATCCATCTCATCGTTAATCTTCCTCTTCTGCCTTCAACTTTCCCTAACATGATTGTCTCCTCCAGGAAGTCTTGGCTTTCTTATGATATGCCCATATTATGTCAGCTTTAGTTGTGTCATTTTTGCTTCCCGGAAAAATTCTGGCTTGATTTGATCTGAGACCCACTTGCTCATCTTGCTGTTGGTCCAGGGTATTAGCAAAGCTCCCCTCCAGCACCATGTTCTGAGCACATCAATTTTCTTCTTGTCAGCTTTCTTCACTGTCCAGCTTTCACACCCATATATGTGATCAGGAATACAGTAGTGTGGATGGTCTTGTCCTTGGTTCTAGTGCAATGTCCTCAAACTTGATCTTTTCAAGTTCTTTCATTGCTGTCCTTCTGTCTTCTGATGTCTTGGCTGCAGTCTCCATGTGAGTGGATGATTGAGGCAAGGTATGCTGAATGCCCCTTATCCTCCAAATTTGGAGGGTTATGGGCAGCCTCATTGTGCTGTTAAAATGTTAAATTATTATGATAATACTGCCACAGTAGCAGCCCCAGGTGATTTTGCTTGTATACTGAAAATGTTATATACTCTACAAAGTGGCATGCAAATTGAACAGACTAAAAATAATTCTTCAGAAATGTAATTTGACACAGTGTTTTTTGTTGAACTAGGATTTTCTGAGTGCAGCATATGAACAGTTCTCTTTATTTGGTTTTCTTAAGAGGCTGGTGTTTTTCTTAAAACTACAATGTCTATACTTGGTGAATATTGCTTGTTAGATTAAAAAAGTAGGAACTATACATGCCCCTCTCTACTCCAACTCCTAATTTCTTGTGGAACTCTCTCTTCCTGCATACAATAACTAATGCTTTAAACTGCTTTCTCTCTTCTGCATTATAGGGAAGGAATATGCCAAAGGTGACAGCAGATACATCACGTGAGTGTCAGCTTTGAGTGGTGGATAAATGGATGGATTTGCCTCATACTGATGGAAAAGGATATGATCCTGTAAAGGTCTAGCACTGTAACATTTTAGACAGGTAACAGGTCTGGGAGAAAAACAGTGAGGATGGAAAGAAAGCTGAATTTTTCGTAATGACTGGGATTGCAGGACTTGCCAAGCCACCAGCAGATGGCGTAGCCTGTCATGGGAACGGCACCCTCTTTCTGTAGGCTGGCTACACCACCACCCCAAAAGCCATGCCTTGTTCTATGGTTTAGCAAGCCCTAGAGGCCTTGTTGTGTTGTCTGAACCTGGACGAAACAGTGAACCATGGTCATACTAGAAAATAAGAGCCTCTTGGCAAAAGTGGTAAAAAAGATGGTTGCTCTGGCAGCCCTGCACCTCCTCAAGCCTTGTTCAGGGCTTGAAAAGGAGATGGCTCACAGAAGTAGAAGGGCTTCCTTCACTTCCTCAAGAGTAGCCTTCCCCATCCTTGTGTTTTCAAGACACATTTGGACTGCAACACCCAGAATTCCCAGTCAATGGCCCTGCTAGATGGGAATTCTGGGAGTTGTGGTCCAAATTCTCTGAAGGCTACCAGGTTGGGGAAGGCTGCTTAAGAGGAAGTGAAGCAGAGAAGACCATTTAAATTGCCATTGCTATGGAGCCCAAAGGACTGGGAGGAGGAGAACAAGGAACCTTAGCCTGCTCCCTTCTGTACTGGCCACAGTGGCTGGTGCATCCCTGTGCTCTGCCAGCTCTGACTGCCTTCCCTTGCCCTGTTTGAGGGAGTACCTGCAGACATCATGCAGGGAGGGTGGCAGGAAGGGGTGAGACCCCTAGAACTGCACTGGGAGGGTTGAATGGTGCTCACCTGAGCAATGATGGTGCACACTACAGGGAGTCTGAGGAGAACTCAGCCCCCCTTCCTGACCTTCCTCAGGCTCCAAGCTCCCCAGTTCAGCTGGGTGGCTTCCAAGCCTGGTGATCAGCAGCCTATGTTCCCCATCCCACTCTCCTGCCAATACCAGGAATATGGGGGAGGGAACCAGCTGTCACCCTTGCTCTCCTCAGTGGTCCTACAAATGACCCTTTGGATACTGGCAGGAGGACTGAGGGGGAGGAAGGGGTGGAGGTGCCCCCGTTCCCCACTGTGCCTGGTCAATAGGGAGGCACAGCAGGAGCCCCCAGCCACAATTCCTTAACCAAGGTTTACTTAATCTTTTGTTTTACAGTTTTCTAAGACAATTATCTACTGGAGTAGGATAAATGCATCCTTTTGTGCCTATTCCCAATGTGGGGCTCTCTGGTCTTCAACAAAATCTTAAGAATTTCTCTGTTAATGTTTAAGGTTTCTAGTGCTTAAGGTTACTCTAAGTGTTCTGTTCAGAAGACCCCACCAGTAAGCACTGGCCTAGAAACCACTGGTCTCTTTCCTGGCAAAAGAGAAATTTATTGGAAAAGAAACACCTGGAGTGTGGCTAGGAGAACTGCCCTTGACTTTCAAGACTGGCTGTGCCAGCTCTGGATAGCTTCTCTCTTCTCTTTTCCCTGCCAATATCCATTGCTTATGCTGCGTGGGAGTAGCAGTCCAACCCAACTGGAGGCTACCCAGGTGGGGAATGCACAAGTGAAGACTGGCTTGATAAGAGTGTCCTTGAGTCATTCACTTCCTTCTCCAACAGAATCTGCAGTTGTGTTGCTTCACAAAGAATGTAAGACGAGCCCTGCTGGATCAGAGCAAAGTCCATCCAGTCCAGCATTCTGTTTGCATAGTGGTCAAAACTGCCCACGGGATGCCACAAGCAGGACAGGAGTGCCACAGCATCCTCCTGCCCAAGTTTCCCTGCCACTGATGTACATGGGCCCGCTGCCTCTTATGCTGGGGATAGCATATGGCCACCAGGACTAGTGGTCACCAATAGCCTTTTCCTCCATGAATTTCTTCAGTTCCCTTTCAAAGTTGTCCAAGTTGGTGGCCATCACTACATCTTCTGGAAATGAATTCCATAGTTTAACTATGTGACTTCCTTTTATCAGTCTTGGAAAGAAGATGGGAGGCAGTGATGTGATTGGACTATTGGGAAGGGTGTTGGCTGCCAGAGGGCCTGCCTCAAGTAGAATCTGAGTCTGGAGCAGCAAAGGGGAAATGCTCAGCTATGAATGAAGACCTTGCAACCAACTTTTACCCTTATTGTCTCCAAGCTGCCAAGTGAATGTATTAATAATAATTAGCATGATGATGATGATAATTAGCATTTAGATGGTGTTGAGAGACTCATGACTAGTCTAAGGCCACCTAGTCTGTTCAGTTTTGGCATCTGTTTCCTGTTCTTAGCTTAGCAGTACTGCGTACACATTAAAACAGCCTTCCCCGACATGGTGCCCTCCAGATATTTTTGAACTACAGTCCCCATCATCTCTGACCATTGGTCATGAGGTCTAGGACCAATGGGAGGTATAGTGCAACACATCTGGGCAGCACCATGCTAGGGATGGCCATGCCAACATTTTTCAGAGGGCTCCTCTGCTAGCTTGCTTCAGCAAAAGCAACAAAGTATTTCTTACCCCCTAATAGGTTTTGTGGACTACTATTCACTTACATGTGCTGAAATAATAACTTAAATTGGCAGAGGTATGCATGTATGTACATGTAAATATATGTCTGTATATATACATATGGGTATAGACCCCACTCCCTGGTAACCAATGTGGGGAGCAGGAAATGAAGCACAAAAGCTTTGGGATGCTTTTGGATTTCCAACTGATATTTATTTCCATTTCTATGCTGCCCCATAACCTGAAGGTTGTCTGGGTGGCTTATATCCATGCTAAAACAGAATAAAAACATATGTACATATATCTCACTTTTGCTTCTACAGAGCAGACAATTTCACAGTTTGCATGGAGACCATCACAGCCTGTGCCTGGGGGCCTCTCAGCCTCTGGACTGTGCTAGCATTTCTTTCACACCAACCTTACCGGTTTGTGCTGCAGCTGGTGGTTTCACTGGGTAAGCATACAAGGCAAATGCAGGGACCAATTCATGTCTTAATTCTGTGTCAAAGACACTTTCACTCTCTGATATGTATACAGATAGTTGCCACTCAATACCTAGCCCTTTTAAAGTGGCGGCTTGTGCTAGTAGAATATTTGTTGAGCTATGCCTCATTTCTTTCTGGGAGCCATAATCCACACTAGCTGATTTGTCCTTGTCTTTCAGTCGCCCAGTCTTGCCTCTTTTTTCTTCCTCTCTTCCCATCAAACCTCTTTCTTTTCCCCATATATGTGCCCCATCAGCAAACTGATTTTGAATCTTTCTCCCCATATCTCTCTCCCAAAGTTTTTGGTTACTTGTCTCTTACTTTCATAGCTTTGGGAACTGTGGAACAAGAGGGAGGAGGGATAGAGAGCACAAGCGGCTTGTGCTTCCTGTCCTTAATGGTGGTCTGTAATGGCCAGTTTGCACACGGGAGACCACAAGTATGGAAAACAATCAGTGCAGGTCAGCTGTGTATCCTGTTTTATATAATATCCAAAGTGGCTCTCACTGGTATTTGTTCACACAGATAGTTTACCATGAATTTTATGGGACAGTTGATGCTGCTGAAAGCATGTTTTAAGACAAATTTAGGCTGCAGTCCTAGAAATCTAATAAATCTATTAGATTTCTATCCCACTTTTTTCTTACAAAAGAACACAAAGCAGCTTACATCATTTGCCTTCTGCTGCTCTCAATCCTGTCCCCACCACAACAACCCTGTGTGAGGGCTGAGAGTCTGTGACTGGCTCAAAGTCACCCAGTGGTCTTAACCACTAAACTACACTAGCTCTCTTACTCCTGGCTCACTTCCCTATGAATAATTAGGATTATAATCAATGGGACTTGCTTCTGAATAGGGTTGAATCCAGTGTTGGTCTAACGGCCCCATCTATTTAATGGGGCTACTTGTAAGCAGCACTAACATTGGCCATATCCCTAGGATCGCGCTGTTTCTGTTTCACACACAAATTCTGTTTCAGGAGTCACCTGACAGGGAAGGCATTCTTCCCCCAGCACTTGCTTTAGCCCTGTGGCTTTCAATATGGCTGTGCATGTTTGAGTTTTCTCACCTTCCTTTTCAGCAAGAGAAAATACAGCATGAATCAATGTGGACCTAAGAAGTTTCATGTGCGCCAATTCTGATCTCACAATTTCTTTAGTGTATCCCATACCTGTTTGTGGTACTCCCAGAGGAAATTTCAGCTTACCAATCAGAATCTGCATTCTGCAGTTGCTCCATCTTTCATTCCTTAACCGTATTTTTTTTTGTATCACAAAAAATAATGGAAGGAGTGCTGAGAAAATAAGGGAGGGTTGCAGAGGGGAGATGTCATCTACATGCTTCATAAAATTTAGCAAGTGAGGCAGGGCCATTACACAATAAAACCACCCTGGTGATTTGATAATGAAGGTCATATATAAATATTTTAAAGAAATAGGTTTAAAAGATTGCCAGCACTATTGAGAAGACTGCTATTATTGGCAGGTTTAGGGAGGTTGGGATTGTGCATGGCTTTTTAAAACTTTTTTTTTTTCCTGTTGCACTTGTCTTGACCCACCAGAAGTGTTAGGATCTAAAGATAGCATTGTGTCCAAAGTGGCACACAATCTCCTAGAAATTAATGTATTTTTCTTGCCTGTGTATTCATGTACAAAATTTAATTATTGCAGAAAGGGAGCATGCTTATTGTGGGATTCTTATGTTTACAAAATTTTCAAAAAAAGAAAAAAAACTAATTTGTTTTTACTCCATTATCCTCCTACATGCATATTGAACTGCATTTCCTTCTTAGTATTTCTAGCACAGCCTTCCCTAATCTGGTACTCTGCTCCCAAGATGTTTTGAACTGTAACTCCAGCCAGCATGGCTAATGGCCAGGGATGCTAGTAGCTGTAATTCAAAACAACCGTAGGGCAACTGGTTGGGGGAAGGCTGCTCTAGTGAAATTTTTTTGTGTAACTAATTGTTCTTCTTGTCTCTCCACCTTTACCTCAGGCCAGCTCTATGGAGATATTCTCTATTTCTACACTGAGTATCGAGATGGCTTTAGCCATAGTGAGATGTGGCACCCAATCTACTTCTGGTTTTACTTTGTCTTCATGAATGCTTTGTGGATTATCATTCCCTCAATCCTCATCATAGATGCCTGGAAGCATCTTAGTGCTTCCCAGAGGATAATGGATGCCAGCAAGTTCAAGAAGCACTAATAACCACACAGTGGGTCAGAATGGGCTGTCGTTGCTTTGGGGAAGCATTGTAGCCATGCAGGAGTTGACCAGCTATTCTTGTTCCCTTCCATCTTATGTGGCCCCTCTCAAATTCCACCAAGTGCTCTGAAAGGACCCCTTCTTCTGAGTTTAAGCAGAACAAACTTTGGGAAAACAGTATAATCTATGGCAACAGTTCTGTGTCTTTAAGAGTTCATTGCTTTATGGTTAAGGTTGGAATCCTATCATAATTGCCTTGACAATACTTCTCATTGAATTCAGTAGGTTTTACTTCTGAGTAAATGTGCATAGGGTTAGGCTATCTCAATAAGACAGCCCTCACAGTATATTAAACAGAGCAGGGTATGGAGAACTGCTTTCTCCCTTCCAAACCTGAGGCTACTACCTTTTAGGCTGCAATGAGGAACCATATGTCTTGCTGTTTTTTTTCAGCATGGAACTACACTGTGGAGGTAACACGGGGCATTCTGTCTCTCCTAGATGATGTAGATTATGTGATCTTAACGTGGGAGACAGAATACAAGGCAGTGTTGTAGTGGTTAAGTACATGGCTGCATCCCTATGGCAGAGGAGGTTCAGTTGGTCACCCTGTGACCTTTTAGGTGAGTGGCCAGTTGGTATCCTTGGCTGAGGCAAAGACTATCTAGCAGCCAGACTGACCAGATGCTACTTAATGGATATGCACTGAGATGGATGAAAAGAGGGGCACACTAGGATTTTATTAACAGGAGACTGCTGGGGATATGCTGATAATGGTGTACCAGGGGCATACAGCATGGAAATGCTTTGACAGTTGACAGGCAGTTGATTTTTTTCCAGGGGAGGGTTTATTGCCATGACCAATTCTCATGTTCAAGCTATTTTGGCATGCTTAGACATCCAGTTGTGCTTGGAGCCCAAAACCCATCGTGAAAACAATCTCAACTGTGTCTCTGAATATCTTCAAGGCTGGGATTTGCCTCTTACTCGTAGGACGGACAATCTTCTAAGAGTGCTCCTGTAAATCAACACAACCCAGGATTCACAGAATTCCAAACACATGACTTGCATACTTTTCATACAAGACAACTCATAGACAACTGAGCTCACGTTTGTAAATAAAGTTTGCCAATGTTTAAATAAATATCCGTCTGATTATTTGACATATTTTTGGGTACACCTTGGATGGAGAAACCTCTATTCAGTGGAAAGCTTTATACCAAGGTCTGCAGAATGGTGCATTTCTTGAAAATGTATTAAAAGCCTCATGTGGCCAAGCCAGCATCACCAATAGTGAAAGATGATGGAAATGGTGGTCCCTCTGGTTTTTCTTGGTCTGCAAGTTGCCTGTCCCTGCCTTAAGGTGTAACCAGGCTCTTGTTCTGGATTATTCAAGTACTACCCATTGGAGGCTCAGCCATATGTTTTATACGACACAGGCATGGGTGTGTTCTTTATGTAAAACTGGTATAGCAGATGGTGTAAATTAAAAGGCTTAGCTGATGTTCATATCTGTGTTAAAGCCAATGTGGATATATAAACCCACCCCCCCAATTCTTTGCCTTAAATATACAAACATAGTTAATGTTTTCTAAAGTTACAGAAGTGAAAATGGGTAAATGCAAAAATTCAGAGATGGCCAAGATAATGTGTAAACGTACATTGGAATTATTTTTACATCTTTAATATTAATGTCACACCTTATCACACACACTCCATATAGTCTAGGCATAACGCCTGTGCCCCTTTTCTCTTTTGGACAATAACTTAAGCTTGAACTTAGCGCAAGAAAGGCGAGCGAATGCTTCTGACTGCATCGCTTCTTGACGTCAACAAAGCTCCCCAGCCGAGTGGAGTTCCTACGTCGCAATAAATAAGCTATTGTGACGTCACTGGCACGGTCTAGCCTCTCCTCGGCTTGTATAAAGGCGACTTTGAAACATTTCCTGTCCCACCTGAACGCGCGCAGCGACGTCTGCAAGATGAAATGGAAAAACACACAGGAGATGTTTGGGGCTGCAGCATTTTCTCCAAAGCGTGTCATGCTGCTGCCCCATTTGCCTCAGAGTTCAACTCGAAACCCCGGAAGTAAAAGCTGTGTAGTGCTTGCCTTTCTCTTGTCCCGTGGAGTTTCATCCCCCCCCTCCTGTACACACGCAATCTAATCTGGTTCGCCATGACCTCGGCATTGGTATTGTTTCAAACTATGTATCTCATGGCCATCTCGTTTATATGTAATTTTGACGCAGACACGAGTGAGCATTTTTCCAACCTAGACATTTACACTATGCACAAGAATAGTCATATTCTAGTTCTCGTTTCTGTTTAACCCGGATGTTGATCTTTGACTCCCCACCCACACAAGACCTGCAACCCTTTCCTGATTGGTGGGGCGTTTCGTCATCTTTTTACCTTTTGTTCCCTCTGTGAGAACCATTCCGCTGAACCCAGGATATTTGGACGGCGTCGGAGGATTGGTGCAATTTTCACGGCCTCTCTTTTAACCAAGGTTCCCCTCGACATCTTTAAAATATGGCTGATGACGTCTGTACCGGAGGCGACTCGAAGAGGCGGAAGTAGCCAGCGGAGTCACATGATGGACGTGGTTCCTTCTCCCCCGCCCTTCCTTGCGAGCCCCGGTGAACTAAGGCGGTGATGGCGCGAGGGTGCCCCCTCTTGGGCGCGTGACGTGGAGGGGGCTGTAACGGTCCGGCGCGAAGCGCCTCCGCCCAAAGGAAAGGTGGAGGGGCCGGGATGGCGGCGCCGGGAGGGGGAGCGGGAGCAGCGACGCCGGGAGGGGGCGCGCCCGGGGCTGCGCTTGGGACGCAAGAGGAGGAGGAGCACGAAGTGGTTCGCGTGCGGGTCAAGGTGAGTGACCCTGAGGTGAGGGGTCAGAGGAGCCACGGCCTGGGGCAAAAAAGGGTCAAAGGTCAAGCGAGGGTCTGGGGGGAGTACATCGGATGGAAGGGTCGAAAGAGCCGCAAGGATGGGAGTAAGTAGGTGATGTCATAGGGGCCATGAAGAGGCTCCGGTATGGCTCAGTGCAGCTCTGGCTGCTCCATGGGAGGTGGGTGAATTGGGCATGATAGTGCTTGGCCTGGAGCAGGATGAATAAAGTTAAAAGTTAGACCAGTAGGTATGGCCTCACTGAGGGAATAGTTGTGTCTCAGTTGCTCAGAGTTTATCATTTCATTGCAATCTGAGGTACATTGTGCTTAGATGCTTCTTGACGTAGTCATCTTTGACAGCTTGAAATGTTTGTCTGAATTTGCCCCTCTATGAGGCTGGATTGCAGTCTTATACTAATTTGGTCAAATAGGATTCCTGGAAAAATGGGAGGAAGGAAAGCAATGGGATGCACTCCAGTAGTTAAGATTATTTAATTCTGAAAAACGTATATAAAGCAAAATTTATGATAGCTATCTGTGAAACTGGCCAGGTGCTGTAAATCTGAAATGAACATGTGATAGGCAAACATTGTTTTTAGTTTACATTTACAAAGTAAACTTGTTAGATAGGAAGTATAATGCCATGGTTAGAGTACTACCCATGCAAATAGGAAACTCCAGGTTCAGGTTGCTATCCAGTCAAGGAACTTGGGCCTGCACATGCCATTGGCTCAGCTTGGACATAAAACTGTGGTTTGTGCTAAGTTTACTCAAGTAGCAAAACTGGTTTGAGTTTCTAAATATACAACAGGCAACTTCTTGTGTGCATTTGTTTCTCACAAGTCGGTTTTATACTATTCCATATTCCTAAATTCAATCCTATCTTTGTAGTACACCAGCCTCTGAAAGGAGAGCAGTGGCTCAAACTGTGCTTGTTCAATTGAAATACTATATCAAGACAACTTTAGAAAGAATGTAGTTTGCAAGCACACTTTAAAGCATTGTTTTTACTTCTCATTTAACAGTTGGACACTCCAACAAGCTTTCTTAAGTCTGCATTTACTTCACAGTGTTATCAGGCTAAAACTTGTGATAGGCTCCTTACTGTAAATAAATGGATACAAATTAATAAGTATTTTTTGTAGCTATTATTAATTGCAGCTAGAGAATTAAGATGTACCAAGACTGATTAACTTGTCCACAACTTTGTGTTGGAATGCAGACTCACACTTCCTAGATCGTTGTTAGCTTTCCAGTGGTTAGACTATGCTGGCACTTGAATTGCTTTAATCCATCTTTGTTGATCATAAGAACACATCCTGTGTTTGATGAGGGACTAAAATGCACTTGTCATTCATTGAGAGCTACAGATTTCAAAGATTCAAAACAGCTCTTGATGACCCAGTAATAAATGAGGACCTTGTTCTTTGTACATTGATATATGCAATTCTTCAGTTGCTAATCTCAGTTCCTCCAGTGAAAATTACCAAAATGTAGTATTAGCAGGGCTTTATATGCCTTGATTCTTGCTTTTATGTTTACTGATTCACATCTTGTGAGCACTGTTAGTTTGTCCTAGAGGAGAGTATGTTTTATTATCCTTTGAATTCCCACCACAGATAGCAGTTAATGGCAGACCGGACAATGAGTATTACATGTTCCTTGAGAGAGCATTGCACAGATCAATAGGTTGAAGATGCATAGTGTTTTGCAAAACCATTGGAGACAGAGTCTGATAGCCAAAGGATAATATATAAGAACATTGCTTTCGTTCTGGTGGATTTTCATGGTTGGACATTTCTTTTCCAAAGAAGAGATCTTTTCCAGGCTAGTGAGAAACTTCATAAAGTGGAAGAATGAAGTAACTTGAGGTACTCTGAAAGTTTTGGCTTATGACTCCCATGATTCCTTATCATTGGCTGTGCTAGTTTGGGCTGATAAGAGTTGTAGTTTGGTCCAATGTTTAAGTCTACAAGTTGTTCACCCCTTTTGGATCTGTACTGAATTCATATTTGTTCTTCTGTATAAAACACAGTTGGTTTAGCTCTGTCCCCTTTGCAAGAAGATTGACCACAATGCCACTTTTTTCAGATCTAGAGTGAGTTGGTTTCATTGCAAATGGGAACTACCTAACCTCCTCTCAACAGAGAAGGATCTGTTTAAATGCACTGCATATAGTTCAGGATGGCATAATGACCATCATGCTTTGAGGTTGTCTTACATTCCTGATTCCTTTCTTCTACCCATGATCAAACATAGCCACCTCCCTTACCAAGTGTCCAACATGTCTTGCTTTGACAAGTAATAATAATCTGTATGTTACATTTTTGGCAAATATTTCTTCACATTTTCTGACAGGAATTTAACTCTTACTAATAGCACCTTGAGTGCCATTTTTCTGATAGAAAGGCAGGATACAAATTAAATAAATACTAGTCAGAAGTGTTACTCTGGCAGTCTGATTGAAACATATTTGGAATTAGGCTCAATTTACATCAGTGGTGCTGATTTCCCAATAAAGGATGCTTTGGACAGCAGCTAGCTGCATTCCTTCCTTAGCTGGAAATATGCCAATTGACTCGGTGGTATTTTCATGGAACACTGAAGCAGCTTGAGTGGACTCCGGGGGATGGTGGAGGACAGGAAGGCCTGGAGGAATGTTGTCCATGGGGTCGCGATGGGTCGGACACGACTTTGCGACTAACAACAACAACAACATTTTCATGGAAACATGGTTGGGGCTATACCATTAATTTTTATGTTGTGAACAACCTTTCTATTGTATATCAAGGGTTATGTGTATTGGTTGACATGCAGAAATAACCCTGGTCTTAATAAAAACCTGGTTGTCTGTGAACCAGACAGAATGCTAATCACATGGCTTGATCAATCCTGCTTGGTTGCTTCTACCACTGAAAACAGCTAAACAACCCAGAGGTACTTTGTCCCTAGTGGTGGTAAGTTTGAACTTAAAATTCTTTAGTGTCTCTTCCCTGATAAACCAGAGTTGGGACCCCAGCCTTATTTTCTGGTTCCAGAGATAAGCCAGACTTCTGGGTTCAGACTTCTGTTTAAACAATCCTGGACCAAGCATACTGGTTGTTTAGCAGCTCACAGTGTCAGGAAGAGCCAAGAAGGAACAATTAAGCCTTAGGGAATGGCACACTGGCTTGCTCATAATAACCTAGTTTTTGTTTTTTACAATTCTGGGTGACTGCTATGTGCAAATCAGACCGATATCTCTGATGTGGCTGTAAGCCTGTAGGAAATGTAATAATCTGGGCTGTATTTTAAGCTGTATTAAGGTTTGCTGACTGTTTATGTGAAAAGACCACATTCCAAATTGAATTTGCCAGAGGCAATTCTGCATCCTTTAGATTCCATCCTGTGTTGAAGAGCTATCGCTCTTTCGGGTGGTGCAGGGGCTGGTACATCTGGGCCCAAAGAAAGATCTTGTGCCACCCTCGAAGGCCTGCTGTAATGACTTTGCCAAGCATTTCAGGAAGAAAATCACTCAGATTTGCCACGAACTTGACTCTAATATTGAACCAGATTCTACTGGGGAGATGCCATCAACGCCGTTGAGTCCACAATTAATGGATGAATTTCAGTTGTTGCGGCCTGATGATGTGGACAAGGTGCTTGGACAAGTATGCCCTACCCTTTAAAGGAGGCGGTAGTCCGGCCAGTCCTAAAGAAGGCATCCCTGGATCCAGAGGTGGCTGCCAATTATAGACCGGTGGCCAACATCCCGTTCCTGGGCAAGGTGCTAGAGCGGGTGGTGGCTGGACAACTCCAAGCACTCTTGGATAAAACTGATTATCTCGACCCATTTCAGTCCGGCTTCAGACCTGGGTACAGCACTGAATCTGCCTTGGTCGTCCTGTACTATGACCTGTGCAGGGAGAGAGACAGGAGGAGTACGTCCCTGTTAGTTCTCCTGGACCTCTCAGCGGCTTTCGATACCATTGACCATGGTATCCTTCTGAATAGACTAGCAGGATTGGGAGTTGGAGGCACCACATGGCAGTGGTTCCGCTCCTATCTCAACGGCCGATTTCAGAAGGTGGTGCTGGGGGAGTATAACTCTGCGCCATGGCAGTTATGCCATGGAGTTCCGCAGGGGTCCCTTTTGTCCCCTTTGCTATTTAACATCTACATGAAACTGCTGGGAGAGGTTATCAGGAGGTGTGGGCTGCAGAATCATCAGTACGCTGATGATACCCAGCTCTACCTCTCATTTTCCACCAATCCAGGTGAGGCAGTGGCTGTGCTGAACCGGTGCCTGGCCGAGGTAATGGGCTGGATGAGGGCCAATAAAC